CTTGCCCTGTATTACAGAAAGCAGTTACTTCCCAGGCGACAGTTTTAGCTTCTTCCTTCTAAAAGTAAGGAAATCAAAGCAGTTGCCTCGTGTGCTAGTTCACTCACCTGAGTACTCCCCCAACTCCCAAGCTGCAAACTTCAATTTTCAATTAAATTTGACAGAAGTCTCAAAGAACAGTAAGTCCCTGTAAGTCTCTTGAAACAATAGCTGGATAAATAAAACAACCCCACCAAAACATAAAATTCCCTGGAGGAAGAGTGAGGTGCTATTGATCTACTCTGTGTTGTTTGCCAACAACAGCCTGGTCTACACACGTGGGTGGGTTGTGCTGCTCTGCACTAGCAAAGGCTCCCACTCCCTCTCCCACGTGGGTCAAGGAGCCTTTGGCTGCTTTTCCCCTTTTCTCCTACAGGCCAGCTATCTCAGTGGCTGTTTCCCAACTCTTCAAAGGAAACCTCAAATATTGTAGCTTTGTTTTTTTCTTTTCTCTGTCCCAGCAGTTTCATCTTCTTCTTACCATGCTGGACAGGCTAACTTTTCACGTCAGCTCGCCTGCAAGGTCTCCCTTGCTACAGCACATATATTGCAGACCATCTACTTAAAACATACTCTGAATACTTCCTTTTAGAAAACTTAATTTGTCCCCTTAGTCCTGTGAAGACTTGAAGCCCTTTAGATCTTCACAAACACAAGGCCAAGCAATGCATGGAGTGGGCTGGTATTATCTGTCAGGTAAGCTGCTGGGTTTCAAGATCAAAGCATCCCTCTTTGGACTGGGAAGTAGGGCAGCACCCTCTGGAAGACAGGTGTCAAGCAGAGTTTATTATCAGAGGTAAGTGTAGTTCATTCCTTAGTATTTCAATGCATGAGATGTAGCAAATTCAAAGAAGTTAGGCACCAGAGTTAGACTGTCAGAAGTTTCTCTGTCTCAAGGCTCAGCTCTGAAACCCTGGGCGTATTTGTGAAACATGGCAGACCAGGGACCGGGCTTTTTTCCTCCTCTTCACTTATATCCAAAATGTAATAGAAAGCCAGGTACAATTAAACCCAGTGTACCGTAGTGGCTTAGATTTTGACATGATGCCATATATTTTTTTTCAAATGACAGAGAAACGACACTATTTTCTAAACTTCTTACCTCAGGGTAAGAGAGAGCTGGACCAAAGGCTGGCTGGGTCCTGGCAACAGGAGCTGTCTCACTCCTTGCCTCACTGTCCAGCTTGTGACATCTGCAAACCCATCACTTGCATCACTGGCTTCAATTTTATCCTGCGGGGTCTCCCCAGAGGACAAAGCCAGTGCTGCCAAATCCACAGCTGGGCAAATATCTCCAACCCCAAATGAAGGAGCCATCTTTCAGTTATTAAACACGATCTCTGTTTTTTATCAGCTCACCTACATGTGAGCACAGTAAGGAACTTCGTTATTTTTGCTGCTAAAAGTCATGAGATCACAAGGATCACAACTTTCCTCCGCTTACAGTCACGATGGATCACATCTACTGTCTGTCAAAGTCCTGTTAACATGTATTTATCTTGACAGTTTGGTCTAAAGTTTCCACTTCATGTGTACAAAAAGCAGCAAGAGATCACGTCGGAGATTAAAAAATGATGGCCCGTTGGATTTATTTGCACCCCAGGTGGCATCATTTGGGGGCAGAGTCCTACCAGTAGCACTCTCAATAATTTTCATCTTCCCATGATACCAGTTGCTGCTGCTGCCAGCTCTCCGAAATGTTCTTTCCTAAGGTAGAGGCAGAAGGAGGGGCAAGATTGACAAGGAGAGGGACAGAAACACAACAAAGGACAGTTACTTTCCAGAAATTATTGAAATCTCATCCTCTTCCTGCTTTTCTCTCTAATTCTTCTTTCAGAGAAGAAAACACTTCCATACTGTAGGCAATATTTCTTAGTATATTATTTCTCTAGTTTCCATCTTAAAATAGGCCAGGCAGTATATGAAGAGAATTTGCTTTCCAAATCTTTTGCCACTTTGACTCTGCTATGTGGAGTCACAAGGAAACTGTATTTTCCTAGGAGCAGTGTGAGAATAGAAGATCACAAGAAAAATGACTGTTGGGATATCCTCTTTAATTCCCTCCAGATTTATACAATCACTTCCGTGAGAATAAAACCAAAAGCAAAAGTATACCACTAAAAGGAAAATGTAGCAACTACTGGTATTAGTACACTTTGGGAAACATGCACAAAGAACGTACGTGTATCTCCAAACATGGTCATCATATGAAATCTTTTGTCGCAAGAAAGCCCAGAGAACTCAGACCCCTCTTTTCAGGAATTATTCTTTAATCAAAACAGAAAGAGCTGTATTTCATATCTCCCAGTCAATGCATATTGCTGGAAAAATCAACAGATACCTGTACAGAAAAACAGGCAGCCCAATATCCACAGGTACCAGAACTGGGTCACGCAGGTGACAGAAGCTGCAATACCCAGGCATTCCCAGTTACACACAGGTGGCTTGGAGGGCTGACAGAACTCAGTGATAAAATCCCTCTTTCAGGCATCAAGGCCAAACACCAACTTTCTGAAGTGTCTCCTTGAAGCACCTGTATCTCCTGGAATCCACAGCCCTCCTGCCCAGTGTGTTTCCAGTCATAGACAGAATAGACAAGATATGAAAAGAGCATTGCAATGGATTTTGTGTACTGTAAAAGATGTTTAGAATTCCCTCACTTCATGTACTGCTTAAAAACAAGCACCCAGAATTCTGTATGTCAGACAATTCATTTAGGACACAAAATCCTGATTTGGGATCCTATCTGAGGGCTCTTAGTTTTGAATAAACATTCTTATTTTCTCTTATTCACTTTTGCAGGTATGGAACATGACTGTTTCAGGTTTCTTTCCTTGCAGAAATATGACTAAATAAAGCATCCATGGAAGTAAAATGTACATACTGGAACATTTCAATGAGAAATGGTCAGACAAATTCACATTTGTTCAAATGGTACCATGTAAAGATATCAAACTTTCCGTAAACAATTTGGTTGCAGTACATAAAGTCCTGTAACATCATGGGAACAACACCTGCCAGAGTTGTTTCGTGGTTTTTTCCACTTTGAATTCTCAATTACATGGTGAATCAGATGCAATTTTTACTGCTAGTGTAAACAGAACAAACAGTGAAATTTTAAAACCACATTTATTTTTAATACAAAATCTGTTGCACTATTACAGAAGTGAGCCTGTATGTTTACCCCCACATGCACAGATAATTCAGCATCTACAATTAAATAAGAGTAAAATTATAGTTCTCTTTTACCAAAACCATTGGCAAATCTTACTAAGAAATGTTTTATTTGTGCTTTGTAATCAATGTTTGTAGAACTCATTTCTTATTTCGGTTCCCATTAGGAAAACTGATCAATGGAAAGCTCAAAGGTGCAAAAGAAGCTGATTACAGCTACCTTACATTTGTGATCACTTCAGTTGTGCTTTCCCTACGGTATACACATAAAAGCTGCGAGGTATACTATGGTCTAACGTAATGCACTGGCAAAAGCTCTGAATGGTTCAATTAGGAATCTGCAGTAAATAAGCAGAACAGTTCACTATTTCGTTTTCACAGCAAAAAAAAAAAAAGAAAAAAAGAAAGATATTTAAGTAGATGCCTTAAAATACCATGCACACCATTGGCTACAGTACTTCTTACACAGTACAACATAAGCTTTCTTGTTTTATTTGTCCGTAACACCTAGAAGCATATAGCGTCTACGCTTTAAGTGTATTTACAAATTCAACAAAATATCTACATATAAAAAGCTTACTTAAAATTAAACTTGATGCAAGTTATGAAAAACCAATTTATTGGCAAATGAAACTGAGCATTCCTTCAACCATAGGTTGTTATAAAAATTTATATTTGGAGGTAAACATTTGATTGATATAGTATGTGAGAAAATAATTTTGTAATCGATAATGGTAACCCTTTACCACTAAACCATATTAGCACTTGTCCGATTGAATTCTGTGGTCTCGAGCGGTAACCCCCACACTGCTTCAGGGTGTAGATAATTACAAAGCTGCCACACCGATCAGGCCGGGACACAGAGGGAAATGCACTCTTGCTGGTGTAGTCGGCTGGTTTGGTTTTTGAACAATTTATTTCACAAGAGCTTATACCTTGCTGTGTTAGTAAATAATTTAATTCTAGTTGTGTTTTGTTTGTTTTTATCTTCTAAGGCCATGAAAACATGTTGTGCTGTAACGGTCCAGAAAGCATTTATTTTATTTTTAAAAGGGGAAAAAAAATAATCATACTTTTCTTTGTGTAATTTAAAATATTTAAAACCTTCCATTTTTAGCACAACAGTTTCATAACACTTTTTTTTCTTCACAATTCTACATTATTTGGCAATGATAGTAGTCAGCTAATCACAGTTTACTGCACCAACTGATTTAGTAGTACAGCGCATCATGGAATGCATATTGTATAAAGGCACTGAATGTATTTTGCCCTGTGTTTTCTGGAATATCTTCTCTCATTTTAAAGTTTTTCTTTTACTGACTGTACAAATTCCAAAATGCATTGCAATGCGTATCTTTTATGCCCTAAAATCAATCCAATGTCTTTTGATGTAAAAATAGAACACTGTACTGCTGTAATACTTGATAGATTAAAAAGGCTATAAAGTAATAGGAGCAAAGAGCAGATAATAGGGTCTCATTAAGCATCAGCAAATGCAAGTGTCATACTTAAATCATTTAGCAATTATATACTGTACATACTGTTCCTAACTGTCTTGCAAAAAGACATATGATAGCTAGACATTAAGTCACCAATTTCACAACAATGTCCACAAAGACATTGAAGTTCTATATAATACTACTATAACACTCTGACAATGAAAACAGAATTCATACCCAGGGATTCGGCTGAGGACTGCATAACAAATTGTCAAACCATGTTTTTATAGTGTACACGAGATTATCTGTGAATTGTGTAGCATTTTTTCTCCATGCATTATCCTGTATTTTCAACAGTAAACAAAATTATAAGTTGATGTTATTGTTTGTGTCAGTTCCTTTTAAAAAAAGTAAAAATACCCACATTTTGAACAAAATTGGAATTTCATCTTTTGATTCATACTAACATACCACTTAGTGTGTCATTACGCTGCAGAGTTGTATTGACCTGCATATTCTCATAGCATAAACATCTCGTGACGAGGAGCTCCGCTGCCTGCATGTTCATAGTATGAGGAGGAGGATGTACAAGTGCTTTAAACAAACTGAAGACACAAGGGGATCGAGTTCTGTGGTTACACAAATGAATTCATGGCATTTACAGGAGAAGGAGCCTCAGAGCTTTCGTTTCCTTCTGCGGGTTCTTTCTCTTTTTTACCACTATATTGTCCAATAAAGGAGCCATCCTCATTGAACTGACCATTTACACCTTCTCCATAGTCAACTAAACTATCATCACTGTCTTCTTTTTTCACAGTTCGGTCTGAAGGTGTCCGGCTTCCTTTTTTTAGAGGTTTATGGTCCTCTGCATCACTGGAGACAAACAAACAAACAAAAGGAGTTAACTGACATATTACATATTATGGCAAAAGCAGCCATGCATGCAGAGTTTATAAAAAGCATGTGTGCAGCCCTATAATCCTTTAGTAAACCCACATCACATTGTAGAGACGGATCAATATGATGCAGTTGACATGAATACATGGTGTAGGAATGGTTTAAACAGAGAATGTCTTCAGTGGAGGGAGGGGGGGTTGTGGTTTCTCTTTTTTTTTTCTTTTTCCATCGTGCATGACTTTTCAGTGAAAAGACTTTTGCCCTTGGCTTGGAAGCAATTTAGATGCAACTGCAAGCATTAAAATGTGGGTTGTAAAAAAAATCATTTATTTGTTCTCCAAAGTAAAAAGCTTATGATGCGCTGTGAAGTTAGTCTGTTAAACTTCTTAATTTCTTTGACTCCTTGGACATGAATGAAGAATGAATTTGGTTAAATGAAATATATTGATTTTCTTTACTAGTATAAAGAAAATAAAAGTGCTGCATTTCAAATAATTTGTTACATAATGCAGGCCAGACTTGCAATTTTCAACCTTACCTTTCAAGAGACCTACATATTCCATTAAAAGGGTGCAGAAGAAACAAATGAAAATAGCCTAAGAAGAAAAGCAAAGTCCATATCCTGATAGTGATCAGTATTTTATAATAATAAGTTGCTCTTAAAATTGCTAAAACATTTACTGTATACAGGTAAAGCAACAATTTAGCTTACAGTTACTTGAGTTGACCAGTTAAGAGCATGCTTAGCTTTTCCCATTACTTATCAGATCAACCTCCTTATCCCAATCCGTAACTGTTGACAAGTTCAGACGATGATGATGGTGATTTGGAGGACAACAGAAAAAGGAAAGGAAAAAAAGGCAAGGAGGAGGGACCCCAGTAGCAAAGGAGCATGGTCTTTCTCTTGCCAGTGCAAAAACTGCAGCACCATCAGCATCCCCAAAGAAATGTGCAACTGTGGCAAGCTTGTATTTCATGAAATAGATGTAGTTGGGCTCTTTTCAGAATCCTTTACACTGCACTTCAGTTTCAAGATGAAGATTTCAGCAGCAGCTCCAAAGCATTTTCAATTTAAATCCACTATTGCCAGCTGTACTTTTGGGTGCAATTATTTACTTTGTCTTAAACAGAACATGTGACTTTATTTGCATATAGGGTACAAAAGAGTGATTTTTTAAAAAAATTTATTTTATTTTTTTTTATTTAAAGGCTCCCAGCTTATGGAAAATATAAAGAAACATGTATAAAATATCAAGGAAACAAAAATGTATTTACAATATCCATAATATTAGGCTGAATACATATTCAGCCAATTATTTTAACTAATTCCTGAAAACAAGTATCTTCGTTCTTCAAATAATTATATTTTTTTTCCTAATGAATATCTTTGAACAACCAGAGTAACCATATGTGTATCTATATCAATATTATCTACAAGGTCACACATTATATTGCTAGCTAACAAATGCCCTGTTGAGAAACATTTCACTATTGCTTGAAAATTATTACACTGATTTTCGATCAAGCTGCTTCTCCTCATCTCACCACCTTTTTTGGCTTTGGAAGACTCCAAGTTATGACATTCTAAAAGAAGTATGCCTCTAATATGCATATACTTACATGAGAAGCATACCAAAGATTTTATTCTTCTCTGCATACACAGGAAAGAAGTAGTAGGAATATCTATCTTACTAACATGTAAAAACATACGTTTAAAATACACAAAGGCAAAAACTCTAAACTTGACTGTCTTGACTTTGTTTTTAGTTATTGCTGTGTACATGGCATGAGGACAGATATCGTATTACAGATCTTCTGGGCCCACTGATACTGCAAATGTATAGGCTAGTAACATCTGAAATAATGCTACTTCAAAATGTCAAGCATCCAGCAGCAAAGTGCAAATGTTTATAACACTGCAATCACAAGCAGATTACAAAGACTTTACAGAGTAAAGTTCATTTTGGAAGGACACTATATTTAAAAGGTTGAAGAACTGAGTATTTAAAAATCACACACAATGTAGTTTCTCCACTGTCCTCATGAGAGGGCATCAGTGTCATTAGAACAGGCTATTCAAGCCAAATGGTGACCAGGCCCTCACTTTGAAATAGTAACTGGTTCTACTCCCAAAGAGTGACCTGCAGCAGTTAATGCTTTCTGGGTAGCACCATTTCGTAAAGAACATTACGCGTATGGTTTGCTGTGTATTTTTAGGTGAATAACTCCATAATTGCTTATACCATACTATGCAGGAATGAAAATAAATTAAAATTGCATTTTACCATAGTCCAACCGGTCAAGAAACCGTGAAAATATCCTAAAGTGTGACATTATCCACTGTAATTCACTGTAATTCAGTAAATAATTAATACACCATCACTGTATTAAAAATATCCAAATTTTTGTGTCTAATCCAATATAAAGTTCGATTTTCATTTATAACTTAAATAAATCTGGGTACGAGAACTTCTGGTTTGTGTTGCTCTTAGGGCTTTAAGCCAAACAATGACGAAATACTTCCACAGCTGGCTGCATCATGTGTGTGATTTTTCTGTATTTTAGTAAGGATGCAGATTCTACTGTCTGTATAATTAAAAACAAATTAAAAAACCTGCAGATTTACCTAGGAGTGCACCTGCATGGAGGCAGGCGCTGGTGTCAGAGCACAGTTAAAGCAGATGTAAAAATAAAATCTGAACCTGGGGATTCTCTCCCTTTTTGCACTAGAGGAGACCAGAAACCGGTTCTGCCAAGACTCTGGCAGTGGAAAAACAAGTGGGATTACTGACCTCAATAATTATTTGACCTCATTAATGTTTATAAATATGTAAAGGATGAGTGTCATGAGGAAGGAGGCAGACTCTTCTCAGTGACAGTCAATGACAGGACAAGGGGCAATGGGTGCAAGCTGGAACATAGGAGGTTCAATCTGAACATGAGGAAAAACTTTTTTACTGTAAGGGTGACAGAGCACTGGAACAGGCTGCCCAGAGAGGTTGTGGAGTCTCCTTCTCTGGAGACACTCAAAACCCGGCTGGACATGTTCCTGTGTGACCTAGTCTAGGTGATCCTGCTCCGGCAGGGGGGTTGGACTGGATGATCTTTCAAGGTCCCTTCCAACTTCTAACATTCTGTGATTCTGTGATTATCCAAGGTGCTTTCCACATCTTGTTCAGGAAAAGGAAACGTATGCCATAAAACCTTTTATTCTTTATCAAACTGAACTATGACTCTTGTATTAGACGAATACAGTGTTTTGGGTGGAAGGGAAAGAAATCAAGGAAGAAAGAGAAAAAAAAACCTAAGCAGGAAGAGAGAAAAAGAAGTGAAGACATCAATGTTTTGGACAGCACTCTTGTGATCCTGGGGGTGCAAAACAGAGAAGGGACCCTGGTGCTCTGGGGAAATGAATGTATTTTCTGTTTGCTGCCAAGAAGCAAACTGCGAATGCCACTGAACTGCATTATGAATATGGATGCCCAAAGAGCTATAGAACACTTTAGGCTGTAGAATATTTAATACTATATTGCAAAAACATGTTAAAACAATAAATTTTGATACAGTAACTGAGATTTGCTAATCTTGCTTTCCGTTGTCCATAAAACTATTCTAAAATGCAACCAGGATAGATAATAATTTCTTTCAGTTTTTGTTTGTGGTTTTGCTTGCCGATTTTTATGCTTACTTAGTGTAATGTCATGAAATAAAAAAATTGGGTTGACTAAAATAACAGTGAAAAACTGAAGAAGTTTTTGAAAAGTGACGAAGTGCATACAATAAATAGTGAGACAGCATGTACAGGGAGGGAACAAAACAGGAGGTGAGAATGGGTATGAAATTTATAGTTAGATCAGACAGCCATGAAAGTTAAGTGTAGTGATACTTTTACTATTTGTAGCTAAAAAAAATAGATTACTAGCTTTTTAAGGATGAAAGTTTCTCAGTGAAGACTGGTATGTACCAGTCATTTTGGTAAGTATGTACCACACACATTTCTTGCCCTTTTAGTAAGAACAGTATTTAATATTAAAGCATACTCTAAAAGCATGATTTAAACATTTTTCATGAATGATTGCTAATATATGAATACATTTCTTTTTCTTCTTAGTTTAATGGAAAGCATATCAAACTTGCAGCTAATGATAAAAGGATATAAGAAGCACAGAGGTGACAAAAATGTGTAAATGCAAAGTACAAAGTTATTTTATTTAGAAATAGTACTCCCATTTCACAAGCTCATCAGTTATTGAAAGAAAAATGTACCTTGAAATCTCCTTTCTTCTTTCAGCTTTTCAGTTTTTCTTCCTTAGATATGGGTACATGCAGCAACCAGTCAGAATGAGGAAGACAGTTTTACGATGCCTCTGCAGTCCAGCAGGCAACTAGTTCCCACTAAACTTTGCCACATTCATGGACATGCAAAAAGACTCAATATATGGTTAGCAATATACTACTTTTCCTTAGAACACAACTGTCAGATGAAAGGCAACAGAAAACAAACAAAACAGTGAAGCATTCTGGGCTACTGGACGCAGAAAGAGGATGCAAAAGATGAAAACTGTTGGCAGTTTTCCCTTTTTCTGTGGTCTCAGGTCAACAGCCCAGAAATGTTTAAGTGTCAGCAGACCTGTAAAGCCACAAAAGTATCTTACACTATGGCTTCCCTGCATGCTCCAGGAGAATCTCTGCCCCAACACCCAACAGGTTTCTGCTCACACTCTTAAATTGATAGGACTGTGCAGATGAAAAATGCTTTCCCTATACACTTATGCACCTGTATCAATCCAGACTTCAAAATATTTCACTATTTCTAATCCAGCTAAGACATAAGCACATCTATATTAGCTTTCTGAGTAGCTTTTCTTTAGCATCTCTGTAATAGTCAACCTTCAATTCCAGCAGAAGCTGGAAAAACTGGAAGATTAACGTCTGGCTTTAAATGAATGGCAATGGGTAGGAAAAAGAGTTATTAGTCAAAGAACTTGACTCACTCCTTGTGAAAATTATAAAGAAAAATGTGCTTGAGAGAAATTAAATCAAACTTTCCACCTTTGCTATTTCTGGTGGAAAAGTACACAAAGAAAAATCAAAGCAGTGATTTAAAAAGTAGTGACACAGATGTTCAAGAATTAAAATAAGAACCAACAAAGAAAGCTTGTGTGCATAAATGAGGACATGGTAAGACCAGAGCCAAATCCAATCGGACTTGTCTCTATTCAGAGACAAGAATTCTCCAGGCAGTCCACTAACAAGCTTAGAATTACGGTGCTGAGGCACAAATTGTTGCTAGGGCCCCCAGAAACACACCTAAGCTGCAATAAAACTTGAAAAACTGCAAGACAAAAATACCCTACTGTAGTTACAAGCTAAATCCTCATTGTTAATCAACCCTGAACAATACAGAAGAAGAACGATATATTATCTAGCAATTTCAGAACTCTCTACCAACCATTTCCAGAAAGTGTCTTATAACATATCCAAGTATTTCTAGGAAAAACAGTTTGTCAAAATGTTGAAGAAAGAGGCAAAATAATTCAACAAGAATTCAACAAGACGTGCAAAATTCCAGCATAATCACACAAGCAGTCCTGCTACTGTAGTTGCCTTGTCCCATTTGATCTTCCTAGACCATTTTGTGGACTGCAGTGAGACACCAGACTTTCTAACTTCCTGTGAAGTTAACAAATGCACGCTTGCAGTCCCTATCTACTAATGAATCCACAGGTCTCATCAAATTAAGAGCCCAGGATGGAAATTTAAGCTGATTTACACAACCGCACTGACCTGAACAGGAGCTCAAGATAGTCTTTAGTATAAATAAACATGTATTTGTTGTACTTCTTGTATTTCTTGCAGTTTCTTGGTGTAAGCATCACCTGTCCACAATTTACTACCTTGAAGACTTCCACAACTCAGGAAACGACTGGGATTGTAATGCAACTCAGGAAACGACTGGGATTGTAGTGCAATCATTTTGCTACAGGGGCACTGTTTTCCCTGATTATGAAAAGGTAGGTGCAGGTATGTCTCCAGTCACTGGACCACAGTGTACCTGGTCATTCTGTAGTTCCTGAAATGCCTGTGTTTCCTAAAGCCTTACTTCCTTTGTTAGATCAATACAGCAGGAAAATCCGGCATTGGCAGGTTCTGCAGAAAGTATGCTCTTAGATGAAGTTGAAAAGTGTGAAACTTCAAACAAGTCCAAGCCATCCCAAGAACACTGGGAAGCCTAGAAATTGAATGTGACAAGAAACTCCCCTAAAATTGAAAGCTATGACTTCTCTAGAAGATCTGAATTATTCATTATGATTAATTTAATAATTTAAATCTTATTTAGAAACAACTAATTTTCTAAGCATTGGGCTTGTCCAGAAATACCGAAGTCCATTCAGTATAAATTTTCCAGTCTTTCACTCTTCCCAGCTCCTGAGAAAGGAGAAAGCCTGCCTGTGTTCCTAGAAAGTTCCTCTTGATGGTCTGGTGTCTCTCTGAAAGTGAGATGTTCTTTCGTACTTGGCATGAAATGATTGTGAGACCTTATACTTTCCCTTTCCTCCTTTAAACTTTGGAGGAGAACGAAAAGAGCTCAGACAATTGTGAGGATAAGAAAATGAAGAGCTTCTGAGAGAGCTCTTCTTTTTCAGCTGACGCAAGGAGTGTTTCGGTTCTGAGAAATCCTTCATGATCTGGACCAAGGGCTCACCAAAGAGCTTGCCGCCTGTGTATGGTAAAGACAGCAGTTTACATTTTAGATCTAGTGATGAGGTCCAAGGACGTAGCCATATAGCTCTCCAGGCTACAGTGAGGCATGCCATGTTTTTAACGGTGAGTCTCAGAGAATCGTCAGCTGCATCATGGATAAAATTAGCTGCAATTTTACATAGCCTGTGTTTCCTCTGCATGGCTCCAGATGGGACCCATTTCTTTTTGAATCTGGCTCGTTCTTCCTCCAACCATATTAGTAATGCTCTAGCAGCATAAGTGCAGTAGATAGATACTCCAAGCTGGGCTGCAACCAGCTTGAAAGATCTTTTAATTGCTTCCTCAACCTTTCTATCAGTAGGATCTTTAGGGAGAGCATCCATGTTACCAGGCACTGATAGTACAGCATCACCAGTAACCAATGCCCTGTCTACCTGAGGCAAGGTCCCCCACAAAGCAGCTTTATCCACTGGAAGAGGATAGAGCTTACATAGGAAAGCCGGGGCTTCATGCTTTGCCTCAGGATTACCCCAAATCCTACATACCAGATCTTCCACTGCTGAATGGATAGGAAGTGCATTATCTGCCTTGCCTTCTTCAGAGGTGATACACAGTTCTTCTGAAGCACATTCAGATTTGGAAGATTTTAGCATTAACACTCTCTTTATGTGCTTGAACAGATAATTCTGATTCTCCATGTCAAATGCACGTAGAGGAACTGGTCCTTCCTGGTCTTCTGTAGGGGATTCAGTGGACACCTCCCCATCTTCAGGGGATGACTCAACCTCCAAGGCTTTGTCAACTTCAGATTTCTCCTTCCCAGGAGCAGTTTGATCCTTTAAACTGTCCATACGGTCAGACTCAAATGTTTGGGAACTGCTCCCAGTTGCTTCTAGAGGAACCACTGGAACTTCTGTAATTGGTACCCTGGGATGCCTTACTGAATGAGACCTAGCCTGTGCCACAGAAGTTATACTTTGTCGGGCTGCTGTCAAAGCATCCTTTAAGACAGTAGCTAGCTCAGGCAAAATTACAGATTTCATTAATGAATTATTTTCAGATGCAGAGAAGTGAGTAGTAGAAGAAGGTCTTACCTTCCTGTGGTAGGAACTCTGAGTATCTTCTGAATCTGAGCTGTAGTCTGGGGTCTGGCTGAACCAGTGCTGGAGTGAAGGACGCTGCCTTGCCAGTGAATCATGAATTGAGTTGCAGCTGAGGGGTTGCTGGAAAGGGGATGGCTGTCCTACCTGAGAATCTGAGCCCTCCTCCGACCCCATTATCTGATCCTCAGAAGCATGATGTCTAGAGCCATGCCTGTACTTCCATTCGTCTGACCTCTTTTCCTCTCGGCAGAGGGAAGTAGAGACAGAACTAACCCTGGCAAGCTCTGAAGACTGCCTAGCCTTCCTCCTGGTGTAGGAGGTCTCTGATCTGGCGCTGGAGTATTGATCCCCTGACCTTCTGAAGAAGCTGGATCTGTCAGATCTCACAGACTTTGCTTTGGTAAAGACAGGGTCTGCTTCAGGAGAATTGGCACAGCTACCTTTTCTTTTCTTTTCCTTGTCCAGTTTCTTTCCTGTCCAAGCAGACATGGACCTGAAGTGATGAAAAAAGTTCAAAATACTCGAATTCCTAGATCTTTCAAAAATTATTAGTTTTTTTCAAGGGAAACCCTATACCCTTTTTCCTCAAAGAAGCACTGCATCATGACCAGTGCCATGTGAGGCAGACAAACTGGGAACTGAGTGACTGCAGTGATGCTGGGCTGCAGAGAGGTTGCCAAGATATCTTCTGTAATCTGACTGGTTGCTGCTGCTGCCCTGTCTCTAAGGAAGAAAGAGGAAAGCCCAATATAGACTAATTACACAGACATACATTTTAAAAAGGAGTTTTTCCATGGTAAATATGATGAGCTCTTTCATGTGAGTAAATATGAAAGCGTGGCATGCATCTGTCCATATTCATCAGACATGAGGTGCATAAATGCATTATAAACTAATTTAATAAAGCACTAGATGATTCTATAGATTAACTCAAGCTGCTTTAACATGGAGATATAAATTTAAATTTTGCTTCAGGTCACACATGAAAGCAGACTTGAATTGTCTTATTCTAGGCCTGAGAAAACATGTATGGAGGTCACATCATTTGTACAATTCTGTATGAAGGTCAGTTTCTGCTGCTGAAAGTTCCAAGTATCAAAAAACAGAGGAGCAGTAAAGGAGAATGTAAACTGGACTGCATAGGAAAGCTTATATGGTACTTATTTACATCTCCTTCCAAACATTGCTTCACAATTCTCTTTTTATCTGTTGAATTTAATTAAGCCATATGCACTTAATGCTGTAATAAAATACTATTCTGAGCTAATTAACCTAAGAGCATCACCTTTTTTTTTTTTTTTTTAAATCAAGGAAGAATAAGCAGAAATTGCTCTTTGGCATTCAGAACTGTAATCTATTCCAGTCAGATCAAGTTGTACATTGCCCTGATATGAAGAAGCTATGGCAACAGAATAGATACTTCTTGAAAAAAAAGTATTTTCCTATGTACATTTATAAATGTCACATCTCTGAAATAATAAAGGGCTTTTACAATTCTTTTGACACAGGAATTCACTGTAAAATCTATTATAGCACCCATGTAAAATATAACAGTATTGACATATTTAGAAAATAACATTATTTCCCTTATTAATCAAACAACAAATAAAAAGGTGCTTATTTAATAACCTATATTAATAATTGTTATATGCACAGACTTGCCAAGGCATGCTTTTTGTGATGCCAGGACATTCAGCTAGTCTACATTTACAATAAAGGAAGAGTCAGGAATAAGAGCTGCATTGCATGCTTTGAAGCTGCTTGCTATATATCTTGAACTGAAATACATGAAAAGGAGATTTGTTTTTTCTTGTAGGACATTCCTTCACCTCTGTGAGTAACATCACTTCCTTGTTACTGGATTAGGGGTTAGTACTGGCAGCCATTTTAAACATGTTTTTCCGGTCAATGTACACAAGATTGTCTTTACCAGGCTTCAGCTAGAAATGTATTTTCAAAACCTGTAACGCTAAATGTGCCCTAACTGAAAGGACACTGTATCTGGTATTTTAACTATCTGGGTTTGGAAATAAAGATTCCTCACTTTGAGAAAATCGTCTCTGAATCTGGATTTTACCTTGCATTAGTGAATAGCTTATTCTAAGCTTGAATGTTTAATTTTTTTCCTAATGGTGTGGTTGAAATGCTATCTATAGGTCTATACAATGCTGGATATAGAATCTTTGTCAACATGGGAAAAAAGTTAGTTTTGAATTAATAAGTGTGATATGATATACAGTACATATGTGACAGAACAGTGAACATGACAAATCACATCGGCTGCTCACCTGTATTCACCAAATGTTCCATCATCTTCTTTCATAGGTTGTATTTCTGGATCAGCATGTGCATCCTCCTTTTCCTTCACTAAGATATTTGAAATAGTAATTTTTATCATTAAACTGCAAGATGAGAAACCTTAAGACCTTAATTTCTCAAACTGATCGCATTTGTCAGGAACATGTTTTGACTAAAACTCGTTTTTTGAACTGGGGCCTTAGGCTCGTATGTTTTTTCTTTTGAAGGGAAAGAACTATTAATTAGTTACAGAATTATATTTTCATTCACGTACAAAATACTGTCTGTCATTCTGCATTAGTAAAATTTTTCTTCCTTTCTCTTCTAGCACTAGAGGCAAAGTTTTGTTAAAAATCCTACTAGAATACTTTCTTTATGTTACTAATAGACCTATTGTTTATTGAAATTGGAATAATTTAGTTTTACTTATCCATGCTCTGCATTTCATCTTGATATTCCTCTCACATTGTTTTATAAAACGGAATCAGATTTACTTGTGTTCACTGTCAGTTTGTACATTTTCTGCTTTCATTTCGTGCACTAAGTCTCCAGGGAATTTTAAACAGTATTTAATAATTATTCATATTGGAAAAAATAGGTGGAGCCTCTGTTTATTTTTTTTTTCTATAACATGATCAAAACCAAAGCAAAACCACCTACAGTGGAACCTAAATTTAACACAATTGTATCTCTTGCACATCCTTGTTATAGGTTTAGTCATCATGCACTGGTGGGAATAAAACCACACATGCAACTTGTCCCTATAAAAGAATCGTGTAGCACTGTGTCCTTTTGACACAGAAACCTGCTAGCACCTGAGAAGACAGATGTTTATAGAAGACATACATCCTTGTAAGTTAAGATTGTAAAATAATATACTGATTCCTAGAATTATGTTTATGGTTCTTCCCTTCGTCTTTTCCATTTTTCTGGCTACTACTCAAATCTTTCCCTTGTTTAGCAGATACAGTTATATAATCCAACACATAATCTCTTATCTTTTACTCTGAATTGGTACATCATTAGTTTACATGCTGATATTTAAGATTATACGAATCATTCCTGACAGTATTTTCTAAATCTATAATTACAATAACGCATAACACCTTGAAATACATCTGACTGCTATAATTTCATACTGAAATAATTTATTACGTTTTTCAAACTACTGGCAATCTCAAGATGACATGCTAAAATTAAGACAAAAAAGAGTTAATAACCTTGTGCTTTGCATTTGTTACTATCTGTGGAACAGCACATTTGCAATGACAGAAGAAATACAATTAGCTCTAGAGTCACTGCTGTAAGCAGGAGTACATACTGAATCTGGAAATCTTATATACAGTCAAGGTCTACCTTTATACATGTGTATGTACAGGCATACGTATGTGTGCATAAAATAATTAATACCTTACCTCTAGTAATTCTGCAGAAGCAGAGAAAAGAAGGGCATAGCAGGGACCTCCACACAGGGATGACAACCTTAGCATCCAACTGCCTACAATGCTTTTACTTGAACTGTTTCACCCTCTTCTAGAGGGTGGCTTACTCCAAGTCCTCCCTGGTCTTTCACTTCGATCACTTTACTTGTTTCATCGTCCTAATTTTCCTTTTTTTCCTTCGGTTCTCTCCACTAAGAGTCACTTTTCCTATATCCTCTGTAATTTCATTTTCTCTTTAAAAAATCCAAATATTAGGAAAAAACCTAAGATTATGTCTTCAGCTTGTATATAACACTGTGTTACTTAAGCATCTGTCTTTTCTCCATGGGCATAGACAGTTGGGTCAGAACCTTTTCTTACTTAACTTCTGCTGTCAATATAGATCTATGCTCTCTCCATAAATCAATTAAACCCTTAGATAGAGCGGAGTAGGATTCTTGTACTTAATAAGGTGATTTTATCTTCTCATAAAAATAAACTGCTATGGTAAGTTTAACTAGAGAAGTTTTGCCCATGAAAAGGAAAAGTTTAAAAGAGTTCACTGACACTAGGTTTCAGAAGTGCACTGGTCCAAACAAGAAGAAATTAAAACAGAGTATGGAATTTTTTTGTACTTTTTCAGCCATCTTTTTCACGTCAAATTAGTAATACAAACTTCAAGAAGTTTGAGTTGACTTCCTGAAATCAAGATTTTACTTGAAATTTAGCAATTGTACTTTCTACCATAGATAGGTGATGGAATAAAAAGTCAAAATATCCTTTGAAGCCCAGCTGAAGTCCATTCATATCCACTCATATCCATTCACGGTTGCTCTATCAGGTAGTAATACTATTCTATGCAAACTGGTTGTCACTATCCTTCTCAAGAAAGCTTTGGTCTATGGATCTACACCATAAACACAAGACTGGGGAGAGATATATATGACACACACAAATGCAGTGTCCTTGCTCATGGCAAGGGGGTTGGACTAGATTCTCTTTAAGGTCCCTTCCAATCCAAACCATTCCATGATTCTATACATACATACATAAACACATATATGCCTTTTATAAGATGTACACCCAGGAAATCGTAGTTTTGACAGAAGATGTACGTTGTAGAAGTCCAATTTTAATCACAAATTACAAAATATACTTGGCCATTCCCAGGTCTAAAATTAAAAAAATGCCAAAACTTAGAAGAAAAAAACAGCCTAGCTGAAGGATAGTAACTTCAAATTTGACTGCAAAGATGCAGAGGCAGAAGATGACACAGATTCTGAGTAACGTATCTGAAACAAAATAATGTATGAAGGAATTTGTCCTATGAAATGCATTCCCAGTAACAAGGCAGCTATGATCTGGTGCATGCTTCCACTCTTTCTGACCAATTAAATTCTAACTCAACTAATTTTAATGGGTTAAACTCATTTGCATTAGACTTCAGAAAGCAAAGGGGAAGGACCAAGTATCTCAAACAAAGCTCAAACCTCCCTAGAGAGGTAAAGTAGTAATATGACCCTCCAGGAATGAAGGAGATATTTTTCTTATGCTTAAATGGATTGAGGTTTTCTAGCAATTGGCAGACTGCTGCTGACAAGCCTACCAAACAGTAAGACTGATTTAACATATACACAAAGTAGATGTAAACCAGCAGCAAATGTAATTTCTCCAGTGAACCTGAGGTCTGTCTTAATGGATTACCAGTAGATAATTTCTACTTTCATTGTTATATGTCATACCTGGATATTTGCCACCTTTGTTCCTCCTTATGAAGCAAACAATCAGTAAAATCAAGATCAGAAGAGCAACAGCACACATAAGACCAATGAACCATCCTTGAGTAGCGATGTCTACCTGCCGACTTGCCATTGCTAGAGAATAAAAGAAGGAATATGAGATGTTTTGCTGCATTTAAATGCTATTTCAAACAAATAATAGCCAGTACACATTGGTCATTAATTAACCAATAACATTAACTGTGAAAATTAGTATTAAAAAACCCAGTGACACTGTATTTTGTGAATATTTTTATGATTTAAAAAGTTTCCAAGTACATGTGCATAGAACTTACTTTTGAGTAGATAAGCATTCTGCCAACAGTTAAGCTTAGCAACTGCTTTGCAAAACCTGTGCACGTACTACATCGCTTTCCACAAACCTCAAAACTATTCTCAACCATTTTAGATTAATTAAACTACTGAAATGAAATTGTAAATTATAATTCACACAAACACATTGACTGCACTCTCAAAATGAATAAAAAACCAATACTCATTAGCTAATGCACCCCCATCAGTCTGAAGAAAGAGATGGGTCATTCAAGATCCTAACATTCAATTTCAACTAAAAATCAACAATGAAGCATCCTTTAAAGCCTTATTAAGCATCATGTTTTCTTCCTTTCCTCAAACCTGTACCTAATCCTACAATTTATCACAATTGCCATGATTTAGCATTAGAGAGGACTTAACATGATGCAATCAGGAAGCCTTTCAATGGCACCATTTCTCTCCAAATGCTGACTCTAGCTGGAAGAAAATGTAAATGATAAGCAAATTGCACAGGACACACTAGAGTCACTAATAAGCACGGGAATTATCTATGCAGTCTGGGAACTGGATCCCTCCTACTGGTCTCCAACACATTCGGAGGATTTTCCTGGTGAAACTTACTTTCTACTCTCCTGTTTGGTCACACACTACAGGCTATGGGCCTTAGGGTTTGCTGCTGGGAGAAAGTGGGAAGGGTGAGAGGAGTTAGGGATGCATGCTACAGACAGAAATTGACATGAAGTGGAGGAAGATGGCCATCCACCCAAACCTATCTTGTTCAGTCTTCATCTTCTCCTCCAGCCCCAAAAGCCAAGAGTCTGAAACTCTATGAAGAGTTTCCCAATAGACATCTCTCTCTATTTGGGAAATAAAGACAAAGATTGCCTTCCTACAAGAGTAAGGAAAGTGACATGCATAACACTTCCTATGCAAAACACATCTGGCATTTTTGTTCAGCATTTGTTGTTTGTTCTGGCTTCATGAGATAAGGTGTCATATTATCCACAGCCAGTACATTACCTAGAATTTTAGAGCAGATCAATAGTACTTCAGATCTCAGCTTAGTAGAGACTTGCACTAAGACCAGATTATATTTGAGACCTTTAGTCAGTGTCTTTGTTTGGATGCTGTGAGTACATCAGCTCGCATGGCACAGTATGCTTTACCCATAGCTGCTAGGTAAGGTCTGTAGACTTGCTTCACTAAGTGGAGGACACAATGCATATAACTTTACACACAGAAACTTGAAAGTTCCAGAGTCCCATAAAGAATTCCACCTCTCCCTAGAGAACATATGCTTTTAAGGGACGGCTTGTAAAAACACATCAGAGAGACCCTGTTTTCAATGGAGCACTGACTGTTTTCTAGCCCTGATTCCAGCTGATACAGCATAAACTCTTCTCCTTACAAAACAACTGGGAATGGTCTTGTGCTGGTGCTGTCCCTGAACAATACCTGAGCCTTGCCTGGCAAACAGGTAGCTGACAAGAGACAGCACTGGGCTGGCAAGCATGCTAACACTAAAATGTAACAATATTCAACTACAGACCACCTCTCAATGTTATTTATTAGCTAAGACAGAGACTGAAACAGCTAGCTTGGAAACATCTGCTCTCAATGGTCCCAAATTCCTGAAGGTTTTCCATGGACCATATAAAAACTCAAAGTATCTCTGATGTCTGGAGACAGTATTTTCCCTTCATTCCATACAGCAGACCAATGTGTATTGCACTGCAGAAATACTAGGCTAAAATTAACTCTTTATGTGGCTGCCTGGTTTTGGTCTTACTGGGCAAAGTTATGACTTAATTTTCATTTAAATAGATCAATGAATTAATGTGCCTGGTTACCGTGGTACAATTAGGAGATTTTCCAGCCTTTAAGAACATGCTTTCTGATGTTTTAGAAACTGACTCTTTCTTATATGCGCAATATTTTTTCTGCGTAAAAATGTCTACATGTTGTATAAATAGATAGCTTATATAAATATGTATTTATACTTTGTATATCATATGTAAATATATAAATATAAATATATATAAGTGGCAGTCTTAAAAGACAAAATCATAAAGGCAACCTTCTTGTGAATTATACATCAAATAAAAGATTTTTTTTCACATTAAGGTTAAAATTATTTTGAGCTTTGCACATATGCATTCATAGTAAGGCATTAAAGGTTGTATAATACATACTGTGACAAAATGCAAAAGCACATTTAACATTCAAATGTAGTAAGAAATAGCATCAAGCAAAACAACTCATGCATAAAAGTATGCAAGATAGATGGGAAAGAGCAAAGATGAAAACTTGCTGATGTAGCTTCCTGTATTCTTTAACTTATTGCATATCCAGTAGGAAGGAGTTTCTAGATCTCAGTGTAACTTTAAAAAAGGCACAACTTTTCCTGCTTACACTAAACAAATTATCTGCTTCAGGCAGAAAGGCATTTGCGAAACGCAGTTTGCATCTGCACACTACCAATGCAGGAGTCAGTGCCATACACTGTACTGGTATCCTCCAAAAGATAAATGCACACACTATGAAGATGCTCTGTAAGAATGCTTGTCAAATAAAAAAATGTGGCAAAAGCTTCATATACCAAATACTGCAGTTTCAATCATAATTAAGGGCATATTCCATATTTCAATCTTTTCCTCTTTGTCCACTGGATTTTCTGCAGTGTTTAAAAACTTTGATCTAGGCTGAAGAGAGTGTGACACAACATTCTTCTGTAAGAAATATGCTATGTATATAATTTAACATTGGATACTGAACCTTTCCATGACCAAGAAGCAGAAAAGAGTGTCTTTAAATTCTCTTTCTCCTTAACAACTCAAGGATATGAGCCAAGGCGACTCGTTCATTCATGGGTATACACAGGACTCTCTACTTGGCTCAGCAGTGTTTGTGCAAAAGATGCTTTTGGGAAAGCTTTCACTCAGCTTGTTTTGAACTATACTATAGTCCTGATCCTTGCTGTACTGCTGCTTTAGGCTTTGGATGTTTGTATAAATTTTTATATATTTTCTTTTATACCACTAGCTGTCTTTGGCATAAATAACCTCTGTGTTTAGCCCATACATATTTGCTTGGCACTGTTATTCAGCACAGTGTTTTCAAAGCTTTCCTGCAATATGATAAACTGTGAACAGAAACGGAACAAGACAAAGCAAAAAATTATGATTTTAGAAAGTGCTCACTTTCAAACCGGCATATTAATTATTTACTGTGTTGTCTGATAATTATGACATAATTTTCAAGAGTTTTTTCATATTTAAACTACTTTCTTAAATCATAACATTCTGGAGTTGGTGAGGGCATTGCTAAATAACTGTGCACTGACCAAAATGCTTGGAATGAGCAGAAGTGGCTAGCAAATACACAACAAATAATAACAGCTGACCAAGAACGTGCTGTGATGGCAATGACATGTTCTGCATAACATCAAAAAACTTTCAATAGAGCCCTTTCTCAGAGTTAAATGGACAAGCATTACTAACTTATGAAGAAATATGACTGAAATATGTACATAAGGAACTTAAACAGCCTCACTGATTCATAGGATATAGTTGTGACATCAAAATCTATATAAAACCGGTATATGAATGGAAAAGAAACATTTACAAATAACAATCTCTTAACACTGCCATAGATTTCATGAGACATCCTGTAGCATGTGCACTTCAAATTATGCAAACATTTTAGCTCAGATTTTTGTATTAAAACTGATCATATACAGATTGTTAGCTGTAAAAATATATACTTGGCACTATAAAAGTACGTAATTTATATATCACCATCTAATTATATTAATTAGAAATAAACACAATAGGTCATCTTCAGTGCGCAGCACACAGATGGAGTGTAAGCAGTGACTATCTTGCCCCTAATATAAACAACAGACAAGTAGAGTGAATTGAAAGGATGACAACATTCATAATGTACATAATAAATATGCTGGCATTATTTAGGAGTTTATAAAATAATTCAACATTGCTCTAAAGAAAAGTACATGCAAGGATGCTAGCAAAAACATCTCTCAGCTAGAAGCAGTTCAATGTGTCAGCGCTTGGTCTACCACAACTCTGACTACGGTACAGAATTGGTACGGTGTGCCTCACCTGGACCTGTCTCAAACACATCCTCTGAACTCCTAAAACCAGACAGGCCCTCAGCACCAACCCGGACTTTATATGCTGTTCCTGGTGTTAAACCCTTTAACACAAAGAAGCTTCGAGAACCATTTACAATTTCTTTTTTCCAATCTTCTTTGCCTACAAAAATTTTAGGAAAACAACATATTGGAATTTTAATTTTCTATGTAAAATTTCTAGACAGAACATTATCAAAAGTTACTTGACTAAAATATGGATTAGCTTAAAAATAACTACTCTCTCAAAAATTAATAAAATCATATAAAATTATGACTTCAAATAATATATTGCATGCAATATATTGAAGGAGACATTGTACATGAATTATTAAACTATTTTAAACATTTGTTCCATTGTACTAGAGAAATATTATTTTCATTTATTTTTTAAAAGGCGTATTGAACTTGCAATTATAAAAGTAAAATAGATTATAATAATTTAATTAAATTACACTTCTGAAATTTTAGTCAATGTTTACTTTATTTCAGAAGTTCTACTCTGAAACTTGAACCTATCATATTTCCTGATCATTCTCTTGCACCTTTTTCTAGTGCAGTCTCAGCAGCTTCTCTGACCAACAGCCAAAAAAATACATTTATATTCCAATTTTCAGATTGGTCATCTTTAGTCATAACTTTAGAAGGATAGCCTATTTGAGTAGAAGTATCTTGGTATTATTAGCTAATTGTGTTCTAATTATTACTGGTATTATCAAAGATTAACACCTGGTTTTATGCCAACAGAAGTACATAAATTGATTGATAATTTACTTTGAGGTTTAATTTAACAAATAATACTGTTTTGATTAGCCTTTTCTATTTTTTTCCTGAATTTGGCATAACTTAGGAAAACTGTTATAGTCTATTTTAATTTAGGCTGGACTTGATGATCTCAGAAATCTTTTCCAGCCTCAATAATTCTGTGATTCTGTAATCATATTTTTACACTTGTAGTCACTGCAAGATAAACAACTTCATGCAAACTACATTTTTAGAAGTTCATGTTCAAAAGAATTTATAAAATAATACAAAGGAACAAAGGCTGACATTCTATCTAAGCATCAAATACCTGCTACACATTGATGTTTATTAAAATGAAAGTTATTTGATCTTCCTGATCAAATAAAAAAATAATTCTTCTAGACATTTAAGCACTATTAACACTGGGTCAGTTTAGGACCATATTTACTACAAAAATATCTGAAAAGAGATCTGAACACTCTAGCAAAATTTAATGAAATGACTTCTTACTGCCTGCTACACCATATTCAACATAAAAGTTCGCATGATCTGGTCCCTCATACTCCCAACTGATATTGGCATAGGTCTCAGCGGCAGCTGTTGTAACATTTCTGATCCTTGGATAAAGTGGTTGCACTGAATACACAATAGAAAAACAAAGCAGAATATGAAGTTGTGACTTCAAAAAAATATTTGAAGAAGTTACTTTGTTAATTTAGATAATATACAGTACATTTGCCATTCCATTACTGGAAATCTGTGACTAAAGTAGCACATTTGGTAACTGAATCCTAGGCAGTTGCTACACCATGAAATCATAAAGTAAAATCTACGTACTCTACTGAGCATGCCCTGTATCACAAAAACTGCCAAATGCTAATTGCCAAAATTCTGCAAAACATTATTTCTCTTAATCTGGGATTAAAATGCAGACAGCTGGAAAGTGAGAACATCATCAGGGTAATGGGAAATGGTAGGAGAGAAGGGAGGTACGAAGGTGGTACACACCTCGCTTTATGCCATGTGTCACTGAATGGACTGCAAATGTCTCAACTGCAACCCCTTATAGGTTTTTGTCTCTAATGCATTGATAATGATAGAAAAGGAAGACAATACCCTTATAGAATGTTGGACGGACAGTGTGCATGACTGGGGAGGTTGCAAAAAGGGTTTCTGAATATCCTTCACCATCAGAGATAGTAGGAAAGAAAAAAATAAAGAGTAAAACCACTTTGCATCAAAAAGTAACATTTAAATAATACAGTAAAACCTTACCTGTTAAATGAATAACACATGCACACACAAAGTTCATGCAGGATTCAATTAATTTTACTTGATAAAATATGAAACAGCTAAGTGATACACATGTATTTGAAGACAAACTGAAGTATGTGTGTACCGACACCTTTACTTTCACAGAACGTCAGCTCCATTAACATTATGGATTTACAGCACCTTTAGACATTGGAACATTAGATGTCAGATATTGGAAAGCCAATATCAAAATACTCTGTTGTGAAGGACACAAATCACGGGAATGCAAGAAGCTGTTCATTTTAAGGTACTGAGTCTTACTGCTGACATTCTTGTTAGACAACAGTACTTTTCACAGATATGCACAGCGCCTACATCTATGAAAATAAGCGCTTCTCTCTTCAGCATCCTGTAATTAGCCACTTCTTCACCCATAGCTTAATCATTTGTCCTCCAATTACACTTGTTACAAGTGGACATGTATTTCAGTATTTTTGATTGCCTCATATTAATGAAAAACAGATTTTAATAGTTGTAAAATAGTGTAATAGTGTAGATAAATAAGGAATGCTCCTAAAAGGCATAAAATTAGTTTTCAGTGAAAATGCCTCACTCGGTTTGCCACTAACATTTCTATCTTACTAAAAATATCTTTTCTGTTGGAAACAACATCAAAAATACTTCCCAAAGGACCACAAAACATCAGAGGTAAACACCTATGCTCAGTAAAGACAATGGCAGAATTTCGATGGCTTCACTTACACCAGGATAATAAAATGGGCAAAAGCATGTTCTCAACGCAAGAGGTGCTGCACAGATTTTATATATGTAATTAAGTTATCTTCCCCTCAAAACAGCAGGATGTCTTTGTCCATATGGCTGACTGGAAGAAGTTCCAAATTAGATTCAAAGAGAAAATGGCTTACTTTCACATTGTAAAATAAATAATTCTGTATACAAGACCCTAACAGACTAAATAACATGAGTACCATGCCTTGAAGACCATAGTTTCTGAGTCTTTTAAAAAAATACTTAAATTATGCAAATTCCATCAGTTCTCCTCAAGACGTAGTCTCATTACAAATTTCCACAATATCAGACTTTTTATCCTCTTACTTGTATACTTTTTTCCTTTATTCTAGTAGTATTCATTCAACTCCTCCATCTGTATTAAACTAATTACTTCCACATTTGATGTCTTTGTAGGCAAGTTGTGCATGTATATATTCTATATACCTTTTCTTTAACCAATCAAAAGTAATAAGGAATACGTTATCTAAAAAATAAAGAATATATTTATTTCTTGGCTAAAATGACCTGAACAAAATCAAATAGAAAGTACTGGACTTTAAAAAAAAAGTAATCTAGGTTACTAATTGAACAACAAAACCCCTAAGAAATACCAGAGCCAGAGCCATCTATGGGAAATCTGGCATGTAACCATATACACTATGGTAATGCAAGGGGATTAGATTCTGCTTCTCTGTGCCACTTGAAGGTAGCAAGAGGAAAGAATAGCAGGCTCTAAATTTAGAAAAGTGCAGAGTCTGAGATGGTAGACAGGATACATAAACTTCCTTCCTCACTTGCACAAAGGAACAGGTGTTAGTTACAATCGGCATCGAAGCATTTGTTCTGTGCCAAGAAAATAACTGGTTTGTATTCTAAATATGACTTTGTTTTGTATCATTAAATTGCATTTTCTCAAATCCATATTTTCCTGGCTTTTGCTCTTTCATGAAAGATGTCCAATTAGCTGCACAACTGTATGACTGATATTTGTCACCAGTGTTAAAGACAGAAGCAACTATTAGCAATAATCTGTTTCAAACTCTTGCCAACAGATGCCACAGAATTACACCTAGCAGCTCCCTCTTCATGCCTGAGCACATGGGGATGAAGGAAACTGTCTCATCTTGTATGAAATACCCCAGATGACAGACAGCTTCCGTGCCACTAAGCAAATTCGATAATCAACTTCCCTGTAAAACCTCAGTCTTCTCTTGTGTGGTTTTTGTGTGTGTGCGTGTGCGTGTTTGTTTGTCTTGGTTTGGTTTTTTGTTGGGTTTTTTGTTGGGTTTTTTTTCCCATCTCCAATTTCCAGTTTCTGCTCTGACTAAGAGTTGCCTGCTGGATTAAAGACCTGGTAGATGGTAAATGCCTTCCTCTTCATACGATTGTATATAACAATCTAGCTGGCTCTGAAAATTACCTTAATTCTCTTGGTGTCTTAGTTTCTAAATCCTCTCAAGTGACCAATTTACGCTTAAACTTATTGGGTGTACTCTTATCTGATCCTTATCAGTAGCTGTTTGTACAAATTTATCCATACGTAGTATTTGGTCAGATTTAAGTTCTGCTTTTTTCCTATTCAATACAGTGCACCAAGAAATGTGTTCAATGGAACACTGATTTTGAAAAATCACTATTTTTGTAATTCTTCCCCTTTTTCAGTACTGCTTGATCTAATTTTCCAGCAGGCCTGGAAAGTTTTAGTTAAGTCTGTTAAAAGTTCCACACTTGCAACATGAATACACGCATAAGAAAATAAAAGATGGCTGATGAATCCTGAGGTGATGAAAGCCTAGAGTCAAAGTGGTTACAACATTTAAAGCTTGTCTCCAATCTACCCAGACTCTTGTCTTCTCAATCAGCACACCTCTAATTATAATTAACCTCTTAATTCCTCAATATGTTTCCCAGCACTGTTCCCAAATGCAAAATGTGTAATTGTCAGTTGGCAGAAACTCTCAGCGTGTGCAAGCGCCAGTTGGTAAAATGGGGGGGCAGAAAGCTTTGTCTCGGGGAGCAGTGCTTTTTCAGTAGTAAAGCTCTGTGCTCTCTTGATTCGTAACCATGCATGACACTGTGTAGCAGTGGTGACAAAAGCCTTGTTGCTCTAAAACTGATGGGAATGGATTGTTAATAAGTTACAGTTTTTATACAGACCGATTCTTATTCAGCCACCTTCAGTAAATTAAGCTTTTTTAGCCATGCTATGACACAATGCAGAATTTAGCTGGCAGTTCGGAGTATGGTTTCATTCCTGTAGTGACATATGGTGTAAAAGCATTTGCCAATTGTTGAGAAAGAGGCCTAGGCTCAAAGTAAAATTTTCCTTTCTTTTCAAATTAATCTCAGCGCTTTTTTAAATGAAGTTTTTTGTAGAGCAATATTTAGTCTTCCAGCCTTCCAGGAACAGTTGCTCCAAATAACATAGTTACACTTCGGCTGCATATTCAACAGATTTTAATAAGACATTACATGAAATATGAATGGATTTTAACAACAGCTCTAGCTCAAGATTCAGTTCAGCAGAACAATAAATTATATAATCCCCAAAGTGACTAAACTTTAGGAATTTTCATGGGATTCACCTGCTCGCCAGGAAAAAAATGGCAGGAAAGTGACAAGCACACATCCGATGATTGGTGTCAAATAGAAAAAAAGCCTCACAAAGCAATATAAAGTAGACAATTAGTTAAAATGCATACATAAAAAGAAAAATAAATTCAAAGAAAAAAAGAACCTATACACAGAAAAGAAAATATGAAGGAAAAAGGTAATAGATTCCGCCAGAGCCTGTAAGACACAGAGAAGGGTTTGGCATTTGTCTGCTTTTTAACCTACAACTTCTACAGTAACAGTAGGAGTGAATTCCATTTATTTCAGTGAGAGATGGGCATTAGTCACTTCTAAGATTATTTAGGCCATTGTAGGAGCATTCCTGTAGTGCAAGAAATACAGAAGACAAAGAAGAAATGCAAGCAATCACTTCACTCCTAAGCATTTAGCATGACATGGATTTTGCAGGACATCTATGAGGTAAAAGATATTTGCAGGAATTTGTGTTTTCTAATAATCGTAATTTTCTCTAGTCCAGAATGCAAAGCATCATTATTGCTTCCAGTAGACTTAAAAGAGGACAAAGCAGCAGTTCTGCATAGCAGGCTGCACTGAAAGAATCACATAAATATATATCATGGAGAAGTCCACAGGGAGAAAGTAGCTGAAGGAGCAGTAGAAAAATACTCTAATCAACTTGAAAAGAAAAAACAGCTTGAACTTGTTAGCAAAAAATGAGACACTATGTGAAATGATTCAAAGAGGGAGGGAGAACAGATGGTGGGCAGAAAAAATGATTTAAAGAACATCATTTTGTAAGGAACAAAGAAAACTGAACTGATCTTCTACGAAGAGATCAGAGATAGGAACTCAGCTGAGAATGATTTCTAGCCTACAGTGAAGAGCTACATATTGAAGACTGAGTCAGAAAAAAAGAACAGTTTCAAACCCAGAGCCTAGACTACTTGCTTTGCTCCCGTGCAACAGAAGTATTTCTGTCAATAATATTTCTGTGAATAATACTTGACATGTGAAGTTCACATGAAGAAGGCAGACCAGACTGAGTACCGCATTGACAGGAAGTGTTAGCTTCAATTAAAGGTAACTGTGATCTCACAACCCTATTTTAATACCAGTTCAGGACTGCCAGTTACCCTTGTCTGTGTACATGCAGACTAAAAGATCTTGTCTTCAAATAAAAATGTTCACTAAATCAAAAAGAAACTTAAAAGTGAAACAAGAAGGCTTGTGAAATGAGACTGACACATCACGCTGTGACTCCCTACACTTACAACAACACAGTGATGAGCCCCTGGTGACTGTCTGTTTTAACCAGCGACTTCCATTTCTACCATGGGTCAAATTTGCATTCTCTTCCTTCCTCTACGGACCAGCTATTTCAAATTTCTAATGGAGAAGGGTAGAAAAGACTTGACTCCAGTGATCACCTGAGTCACTTTCCAGCTGCTACAATAATGCTTTTAAATGTAATCAGGTTCTTATTACCCAATTTTTCTCACACCTCTGTTACCTCATGCCTGTCATTAGATGTCAATACATAAAGAGCAATATCAATGTGTACTGCTTATCTAATGCTAGGTATAATACATCATGTTTTGCATACGCAGTTTTCAGACACATTTAGAATACAGGTTGCTATGAAAAACACATTTTTTTTCTTTGTAGTGTCATATTTTGACCAAATTTAAGTAATTCATAACATCACAGAATTAGAAAGAAAAAAAAATAATGCAAGACGAATAGGAGCATCTATTATAACATCATAGCTTGTCCATCTAGCAAAATACTGTCTCATGATTTACTCATGTGGGCTTGTGAGAGAATGACATGGCTCTCTTCTGTTAAGTTTCTCTTAGAGAAGGAAAAAACCCTCAATTCTTGTAATTTGCAAAGATACATTGCATTTCTGCTATTTGATGCAATGGCTCTGTTTGTCTAAAGAACAGGGAGGCAGTAACATCCTCCTTATATTGCCCCCTATTTGAACAGAGCTTCTATGTTCTATTGAAGTTAAAGAAAAAAAATATTTCTTTATCTAAGTCCCTTGTCTTGACTTCATATTTCATGTTTTCATCTAGAATTGTTATTTTACCTTGTGGGAAAAATACATAAAACTTGCTTCCCTACTTATTGGTCGAGAATATACTGGATATCTTTACTTAACACCAGTACAGTCATAATCAGACAAACTCAGTTGGGACAAATATTAAAAGTGTCAAGTGTAGCAGTAAGCAGACAGTGGTTACTTTCATTGTTTGTAAAGTAATAAAAGACAATTAAGGACCCTGTCTAAAATGATGGCAAAAGACACATTATGCCAAGAGACAGGGAATATATTTCAGAACTACAGTAAAAATATTGAGACACACTAAAATCCTTAATTTACCATATCAATATTTCCCTCTGTACTTTAATAAATAGTTTTACTTTGAGAACTGAAATATGTCCCAAGTTTCACAGCTCGCCCAGGTTTAGATGACTTGAATTCCTCCAGAATCCTGTGTCTGATGTTTCTGACTGACCAAGCTGCAGGTCCTCAGGGGCAGCTTGCTAGCAGAAAACACCAAGTGCAGAAAATTCAGTGCAATTTATGCTGGCTGAATTTGAGACCTATTGTCTTCTTAGCTTCCAAGATGAATGTGCTCACATTGAAAGAGAAAGGATAATTACATTTTCCTGGTAAGTTCTGCCCTTCAAAATGAAAAACTGAGATGGTTTTGATAGATCACAAAAAGGTTGAGAATATCTAAATTTCACCTTCTCCTTAGTTTGGCTTTGGGTCCACATTAGTAAGAACTGTATATAAGTAAGGGCTGTCCTGCACTTAACGGAGGAGTGAAAATTCACTGCTGGGTACAGCTTCTTCTTGAGTGGGCTGAGTATTTTTGTCTTCCAAATCCACCCAGTCATGAGACCAAATAATCTGGCACTTGAACTTGATAATATGATCCTCCTTTTCCTTCCTCGTAGTCCCTGATCAGTAATGAACCAGTTAATCACTTTAATGTAAGTAACCACTGAGAACATTCATCTCAGACCTGCAGCAACTCAGATGTCCCAACAGATGTCATGGCTTTAGGTCCATCCTCTTTGCAGTTCCAAAGTTTTCTTTGCAATTTTAAGAGCTGGATGCTACAGGAATATGTGAAAACTTTGAAACCATAAACGGCATGGAACCAAACGAAGACATCTGCTTAGTTTTCAGAGAATCTGAGATGACAGCTCTGAAATTTGAGCTGCTCCAGCTGATCTTACAAATAAGATGCTTTCCACTAGCCACAGGCTGTGATACAGCTATAATTAAACCTCAGTTTCACACAGAGAATCCATTTTTCCTTGCATGAACTTTTATATTCAGCTATAAATAATGAGGATTTAATTTACATTTCTTCTGTTAACGTCCAGGACTAAAACCCAATTTGATTGTTCCACTCTGTGCTGACTTGTCTAGCTACAACCAGACTAAAAAACAGTAAGAAAAAATTGTCATTAAAATAAACCCACAACTTCATACACTTATCAAAAAGGCATCTGATATTAGAAGACTTAGATACATATATACTCATAATACATAATATATACCAACAATATATAATATATATTATATATATTAAACATATAATATATATTAAATATATAATATGCACAAATGTATGCATACACATACATACATATTTAGTCTGATCTATACCAGACTGAGTGGAGGAAGTTCTTTTTTATGACTATTATCATTCAAAACACCTGATCATCAAGTGGAAAATGTATGTAAAATGATCTATGCTGTCTCTTCCAAGTTTGTAAAAAATGTTGGTTATTTCATGTATAGATCTTGATTTGAGATAATTATGGTCTGAGAATCTGAAGCAGAGATGTTCATTAGTGTTAATGACACCTCTGGGAAAAAATGTCTAGAGACATTTTTCTGACTTATAGCTACCTAACAGTCCTCAGGACAATCTTTGCTTCTGCCAGTGAAGGTGTCAAATTCATAAAAACGCTTTGCAAAAATGTGAAGAACACCCTGTTTAACAGAAGAACCACATCATAAAGAAATAAATATTCCTGAATTCAAGAACAAGGATGATAATAGGTTCCACTCACTGAAATATCCTCAAGGACTCAAAACATCTGTGAACCTAAGACAGCAGGAAGCCATTTGCTTGTATATGCAATCTGATACTTGAGTATAGAGGTGATTGTCATATATTCTCTATGCTGAGAAGTATAGAGGGTATTGTCAGTCATCTGTCTCTTATGCACAATTGGCTTGCAAATGAAATAAATGTGATCAAATGGGCAGCATTAGTCAGCAGTGAGAACAAGAATGCACCTACTTTTTTAAAACAAAAAACGCACATGGCACAGGCAGTAAAAAAATCTCCTTTGCAAAAGTGCTGGTTTTTCTACTCCAGCTAATCACTGCTAGTGCACCTGGATCCTGAATATTTATGACAGTGACATACATCTGTTAAACTTTCAGAAATAATTAGACTTTTCTGAAGCAAAACTAATGAATTCCCCTGGAACTCTGTGGCAAAATAAACAGATGAAAGGTATTAATAACCATTCTGGATTCCTTTAAAAACAAAACAAAACAAAACAAAAACCCAAGAAAACCTAAACAAAACAAAACCCACAAATGTTATCTTCCAGCACTGATTAATACTTTGTATAGAGTAATGTGTAGTCCTAGATTTTCTGTCCTTACCACTGCAATTTCCCCATTTGCAACACTGCAAAATCCACACATTAAGAAATCATGCAGTTTCATTTTACCTTTGCCTGCACCTACAGCAGGACGGAGAATACCAGCTTTAATGGAGGAAAATAAGAATAGGAACACTATATAATTAGGTACAACACCAAACGGAACATACATATATATAATTTCATTACAAACCAGAAAAGCATGCAGACTAGATAAAATGCATTAGTTCAAATAAATTAGAAACAATCCACTTAAGCTGAACACTGACAGACTATTACAAGACAAAAATTAATACACATGCATTTACAAAAATTTAGTGCTCATGCTTGTTAAGATTCACGAGCTAAAGTAAATGTAGTTCATATGCAACCTTAATACACTATTAGAAAAACTGCACTGCATACCAACTCATCTATGGCAGTTTCAATAAACTATAATTTTACTAAGCATAAAAATACGTGAAAAGATGGTATCAAAACAGACTTTTAAGATGTGCAAAATCATAAAGGACTTTTCCCCCAAATTTCCCCTTTGCTCTTATTTTATTAAGCTTTCATATTTAAATAAGCAACATCTTCAACAAAAGAAATGCCAAGATCAGGGATCTAGAATAGCTATAAATGTAAAAATCAATAGTGACAGGATTGAACAATATACTTAAGAGTTTTTAAATAGTACGCAATATCACCAGGTATTGGTGGCCAGAGATGATGAATTTATTTCTGCAGCTTTTTTTGAAGTTACAGTTTTTGCCAGCTCTGTGAAAAAATTTAGACCTCACAGAAGCTTTTGCATACTTCAAAAAAGAAATAATTTCCTCTAGCCATAAAGCCACATCATCTCAGTATTGCTCTCTGTGACCAGAGCAGTCAATGAAGCCAAATAGGTGAACGGAGGAAGACCACTTAAATGAAAAGTTACATGAAACTGAAGACCAGAAAAGCCAAAGTCTTAGAACTTGTAAAGGCTCTCCTTTTGATGAAAACATACACCTCTTTTGGGGCTTTCAATACAGTAGAAAACCTTCGCACATCTTTACTTGAAAACTATTTAAAATCTTTCATTAGTGTATAATTCAGTTAAGAAAGCTGTAGAAAAAAATAAATACTAGGGGCTATTTCCTTAATGGAAAGAAGTAGTAGCAACATTTTCAATAAAATTTGTAGTGGCTTTTAAACTCAGTGGGTTTTCTTTATACATACCCATCTTACCTTCATCCATAATTGTTACTGCTTCCTCAGTTATCTGACTTCCTGATCCAACTGAAGTTTGTGCATTAAAATAAAACTTGTATCGTGTGCTGTAATTTAAATTTTTTAATATCAAGCTGCTCTCGTTGGCAGGAATTCTTATCTCTACTAGAGGACCCAATTCATGTGTGTTGTTAACTGTTGTTACAAGGGAAAAAAAAAGAGTTAGCAAAATTGTTTACATTATCATTGTGTTAAAACTGACGTTTTTGTTTGTATTTATTTGTTTTGTTTGTCTGCTGCATTGTTCATTTCAGGTTATATGAATGATTATCTACAGTTTCAAAAGAAAGTCACCTTTGTGTCAAAAGGTTCTATGAGAGGGGCCAAAACTCAGCAGGCAGATAGGAAACACCTGCAAGTTCTTTAAGTTCAAGTTCCATTCTCATAAATATCTGAATCCAAGGCAACCGAGTCCACATCAAATCATCTGAACTTACACACATTTGAAAAACTGATCATTAAAAAATTCTGAAACTCTAAACTAGCTGCCTCATAGAAAATTCAGTATGCTTAGGAAGAAAATACTGAAGCAATTGTATCCAGTGCCAAGGAACGGTGAAAGTCGGTAAGTGCAGGAAAACAAACTTCCTTAATTTGTTCCATGCACACAAAACCCTTGTATTTCCAGTGTCACTGCTGACAAAGTTCTGGGCAAGTACACAGTGGCATGGAGATGCTAAGGAAGTGATTTATAGCTCAGATGTGAGTAAATGGCACATTTATTAATTTTTCATTTTAAAATTAAAATACTATGAAAATCGAAGAAGCAGACAATATGATTGGATATCTTTTGATATACTTCTCATGATATTTGCTCTGTAGTTAGAATATAGCATTTGTAAGTGATAGTATCTTGCTTCTAACTTGTCTGCCAATTATATGTAAGACCCCACCTCCATTTTTCTGTGAAGCACGGTTTGAAGAAATAAAAGTAATGGAAAAATGTGAAGTTTTCCAAATAGAGTCATCTATATTGTCAAAATACATTAATCTTTTTCAAACTTGAAATGTATAATGCAATCATATCTTTTGTACTTTACAAATTTAACATATTTTTTTCTTAATAAATGGATTGCTACTTGGTAGACATATTGCCTAGGTTAGAGTTCTATATTCATAATTTACTTACTTGGCTGAAACTTCAGTACATACGATACCAAAACACCATTTGGATGGGTAGGTGAACCCCACTCCAGAGTCAGAGAGTCCAATGTTGGATTAGTAATCTTCAAAAAGGAGGGTGAGCCAGGAACTTTTAAAAAGAACATACAGTAAATATGAAGTAGGTAAACTTAAAATAGCTCATGAATTATTAATTTTTAGAAACATTACTGTATATTGAGCCAGATTATTATTTTATGATATCCAAGATAAAAATTCAGCAATTACACCCTTAGAATTCTGTTTCTGAATATACCAAATTTAAGTTTATTCTCTAGCGTTCTCATTTCATACCTCCTTCAGGGGTCTTAAATACTTTGTCTGGGCTTGCCGGTCCTTCTCCTTTACCATTAACAACTCTAACATTCAGCTTGTAAGAACTATAGGGCTCCAGCCCTGGCAACATTCCAAAAGTCTTGTTTCCTCTGAAAGTCAAGATCTTTTTTTCTATGTGCCGCCTGCTCCTTCTGGATAGACTCTGCACTTTCCAGTAGTAAACCTAAAGACAAAATAAAATCTACAATGAGTGTTTAGCTGTTGATTTAACAAACGCTGAACTTTTCCATGAGTATCCATGAAATATAGGTAGGAATAACTGCAATTTTAATAAGCTCAGGTGAGACACAGCATAGGGCTTTCCTGCTCCAGAAACAGTCAAGTCTACACAACAGGGTGACGACTATCATCTGCCAGTTCTGCTAATGCTCAAGGCCAGTTTCACACAAGTTTTGGTTTGGAACTCCTTCAGTACATGATGGTTCTCATGTTAGCAAGACTATCTGAGAGGCAGCACTCATTCATACCATCCATTATTTCAGAAGATGTCTACACAGGTTCCAAGGCAGACTTGCACTTTGTCACCTTCTAATGTCACACACATGGCCATGCTAATCCCTGTGATGTGGAAGTCAAGTAGGTAATTTAAAAAAGGAAAGAAACCAAAATATTTGTCTGGGCTGAAAAACACACAAGTTCTGAAAGGACTCTGAGGTTACAGTCATGGAAGGATCTCCACCTAGGCACAAAAAATTATTCCTCCATTTATGTGACAATTAGATCAGAGTACAAAGCTGATTCTGGTGTTCATTTTGCTGATTGAGTTTCTAAGAAACTACAGATGAGCCTCAGAGTTAATTACCTTGACTGCACTCTCTTTACTACACAGTCTCTCTCCCATGGTATCCAGAAAGACATTAACAGCTGCCTCTACAAAGACTTCTGTTACTCCTAGAATTGTCACCTTCAAATGTATCATCGTGCATTATTCACAGCATAATTATAATGCATGTATGATTACACACTAAAATGGATAAAGCAAGTAAATGGGTAAAATTTTGGTTCCATTTAGGTCAACTGCAAAACACCTTTTAATTAAAGAAGCTGAGATTTCACACAAATTCAAGACAGGGAACTGTTAAGACTGACAAAGTCCACCTAGACAGTTTATAAAGCAATGTTACACTGACACCAGCTTTCTGTTGCTAACAACATACCTTTTCACTCTAATCACTCTTAAATGCCACTATTTTACATGACTTGAGTTAATGTTTTTCAACACCACCAGCTGTCATCCTGTAGCTCTCATCCTACCAACTAGTGTAGAAAGCCATTTACAAGCTAACAAAAGCTTGAAGTGTTGGTACTTTTAGTATTGAAGCTTATAAGGTATAGTTCATGATATTTTATGAATTGTTAGCCAGTAACATTTCACAAAATACATTATTATAGTCAGGTCATTACTTGTCAGTAGTCAGACAGCATCACATTTTGGATGGATAACCACTGTATTTGTAAGAACAACATAAAAAATGGCAGCAGTAACAGTGAAAATAATTCTTTTAAAAATTTCTTCTTGGGTCTGAAACGCTTTATAGCACCACAGTATACTGAGTAATAGCTAGATTAATATAAGAGCATAATGTGACTGATGTGCTGTAGAAGGCTGCTAGTTAGATGTCTCCCTGCTTTCATACATTTGTCTCCATGACGTGACTCGTTAGAGATATACCCTTCTCTTTATTAGGAAATGTGTCCTTAATACAACGCTACATATTGGACTACTGCCTGAAATAATTTCATTGATTAGGAAAGCCTGAGTTTGCTAGTAGGATTTTGTTGATGTGTTTAAAAAGAGATAAATCATGCTTTGTAAGCTACGTCAATAACTGAGATACTTAAAGCATACTCTGCATCCATGAAAAGTTTTCAGATTGTATTCAGAGAAAGCTTTGTAACAACAATTATCCACCAGGTCCTAGGACTTGTCATGTTTCTAATTTTTAACCTATTTTAGCTTGATTTATCTGTATCTGCAAAAATTACTTAAGAAACTTCTGCTGCATCTGCAACTTATTCAAGGATTTACCACTTGCATTTGTCCTACCCACAACAGCAGAACTACTCAGTGGTCAGGTCTGTTGTCAGTCCTGTTTTATTTATGATTACTGACCAACTTATTTTAGCCTCAGTTTTGCTTAACTTAACTTAATTGTGTGGATCTCCTCCCCACAGAAAGATAATCATACTGCACACAAAGAAAAACTAACACTCTAAACATAAGTAATCATGGCATAACCACCCCCTTAGACCAACTAGAGAGGAAAGTGTGCAACTTATTAGTAAATACAAGACAGAAAATAACCCTCAGAGACTCTAAGTCTGAGGAAAAGGAAATCTCCATCTAAACCTGGGATGATGACAACTCACTGTAACCATGCCTTTGAAGGGTGATGTATGGGCAGACATTTGTGTCTATGGATTTTTTTGTATTAATAATGATCTTCAACAGAAATTTGCTGATTTGGATTATGAGCGTTAGTGCTGCTAATAACTCAATAATAAGCACTAACTTCACTAAATTCTAACTCTTTATTCCTCTCATAATGGATGTTTTCTTTTGGTTGCCAATTTGTATGTGAAATACTAAGCTGATATGTGATTTATCTAACAGATAAACTTTCAATCTTGCTTCTCAGATGAGTTTATTATCTAGGGCAAAGCACCACACTAACTACAAATACTTATGCTAGCTCATATAAAACTAGCTTAAGTCTCTCCGGATGGTGGTATTTTGTGCCAGCTAAGTGACATAAACATACCAGGAATTCACATTCATGTAACCAGCCGTAATGCTCTGCAGCTCAGTTTCATCGCTCTTGAATGCAGGTCCTCCATTTTAGAAGTATGATGCGCATTTATTCTCCTTCAAATATTCTTTTTTAAAAAAAAAATATTTCTTTTTCCTCCTTTAATTTAAACAAGTAGTCTAAATTAGTCTGTCTTATGAAATAACCTGGTTTGGGCTGTGTAACTAGTCTGTTTTGTTAGAACATATTTATTGGTATACTTGCAGAGCAGGAAGGAAGTAATTCTTTTTTGTTTTCTTCTATTGTTGCACTATCGTTTTATCCCACTCTTCCCTCTATAACCAGACTACCACGCTTCTGCAGTTTCCACTCCTGAGTTTCTTCTGATGGACTTCCAGAGCAACCTCTGAAGCAATTTTTGCCATCAGATTTTCCCTGTCCTCCAGGGATACCAGTTTCCCCAGTTTCTAACCTTGAAGTCTTTCTGTCTCCCATTCTCTATTAATTGCAGCCTTTTGTCTCCAACACAGCCTTCTCAGTTATCATCAAAGCCAGCAGATTATCCCACACTAAGCTTCCACAACTATATTTACACTTCAAATCTTCTGCCATCTCCTTAAATTGAGCTTTTAAACTGAGCTTTTTCCTGGCCTCTAAAAAGACACAGCATCCAGCCTAAGCTAGCAAGTGGTCAATTACTCACAATCAAAGATGTGATTAATCATATTACGGCAGAAGATGAGTAATCTTAGCATTAGACCTAAAAAAGACTCTTACAGAAATGTTGTGGTTTAGACCCAGCCAGCAACTGAGCACCACGCAGCTGCTTGCTCACTCCTCCCCCTTTCCCTGCCCACAACTGATGAGGCAGTGTGGGGAGTGTATAATAAAAGGCTCTTGGATCAAGACAAGGACAGAGAGGAATCACTCACCAATTACGGTCACGGACAAAACAGATCTGACTTGGGGAAAAAATAAATTTAATTCGTTACCAATCAAATCAGCGTAGGATAATGAGAAATCAAACCAAATCAAATATCAAAAACATCTTCCCCCCACTCCTGTCTTCTTCCTGGGCTCAACTTTGCTCCCAATTTTGCTACCTCCTCCTCTCCAGTGGTGCAGAGGGAGGAGGAATGGGGGTTATAGCCCATGCTGCTCCCTTCTCCTCACACTCTTTTCTTGCCCCAGCGTAGGGTCACTTCCACAGCAGACAGCCCTCCAGGAACTTCTCCAACGTGAGTCTCTGTTCCAGTGCACCTCCTCCCCCTCCTTTCTTCACTGACCTTGGTGTTAGTGCAGTTGTTTCTCTCACACTCCATTCCTTTCTCCACTGCATGTTCCACAGCAGTTGGGTTTGTTTTTTTTTTCCCCTCTGAAATATGTTAACACAGAGGCACTACCACTGTCACTGATTGGCTCAGCCTTGGCCAGAGGCAGGTCTGGTTGGGAGGCAGAGAAGCTTCTAGCAGCTTCTCACAGAAGCCACCCCTGCAGCCCCTCCCCCGCTACCGAAACCTCACCATACAAACATGATAGAAGAAACTATTTCTCCTCATCCTCTAAATATCCTTTTGGAATAAGAGCCATAAAACTGTTAGCATTTTTTTAATATATGTAATGTGTGCAAAATTAATTACAAGCATATCCCATTTTTCTTCCAGGACAATGTCAGAGAAGGCCAGTGCTACAAGGCTGGAACATCGCTGGACTTTAAATTAATTGTAACAGTGCTGTTGCTCTTGTCAGCAAAACTTGTGAACTCACTGAACAGCAGGAGTCCTCTCACATGTCAGTTACTGCCATTTGGATACAACCTCATAGAGGAAGAGTGACCTACTTTAATAAAGGAGAAACAGAAGGCTTTTGACTGTACTTACTTTATACCCTTGAAGGTGCCCTCGGACAGTTTTAAGTGGAACTGGGTCCCAATGCACTTTGGCTAACGTGCTGTTAATAACATGAACCTGCACATTGCCTGGAGCGACCATTGGCACTGTGTGGAAAGGAGGCAAAAAGTACCTAGTTAGAATGAGAAACCACATGAACATACTTTTTAAGAGTGAGTCTTTGCATTGCACTCAAGGAGTAGGTTAAAATGTTCATATGTTAAAAAGCTGACCTCAGGATTAATACAACAGAATTTATGTAGCCTTATATCTCCAAATTCCTTCATTTTAACAAAAAAAACCCCTGCTATCTCTTTTTTTAAATATTTAAGTATTTTAAATATCCATTTAAGTTACAGATTTTGGTGATTTTAATTAGTACAATTAAGTCAAACTACAAAACTTACAGTCTTCCCCTGAATGTCCAATCACCTCTGATGGTTCTGGCGCATATCCCAGGTCATTTAAAGCTTGTACTTTTATTTCGTAAGGAACAAAAGTTGGTGTACCAGACACAATATATTTAGATACATTTGCAACTATAACAGATGTCCATTCATCATCAACATCTTTCTGACGCCAGCTGACTTTGTACTGAAGCCCTGGTCCATTAGACTGAAAACCTTTTAAGGACTGAAATGAAAAGAAATACTTTAAAAAATACTCTGAAAAATCCAAAGTCACAAAGGAAATATGCTGCTCATCTTCAGAATTTTACTGAAAATTTACTACTGTGTTCTGTGACAGAGAATCACTTTCCAAGCTACACCATTTAGCTTTTAGAGGAGGTCAGTTCAGTTGCTTTTCATTCATTAGTGGAAATCCCATTGAATAGTGATCCTGGCTAATTCTCATGCAACCATATATTGTAATTTCTTTATACATATTTTGTTTTCAAATATTTCTTAAGAGGTGGAAGAGGGAAAAACAGATTTACACCAACTCTCTATAAGGAGTGCTCCCTCGACAATGTTTTTTGCCTTGGATGGGAAATTGGTTTTACATGCTGGTAAGTGAGAAAACTTTTCCACAAAAGTTTTTTAGAGAAAGAGTGCACAATAATTTAGTTTATCACAGAAGTTGAGGATAGAATTAGGATGCACACTAAAATTCATTCTAACCATAATACTCTACTTGAGATAAACCTCAATTTACATATTTAAGTTTTCCTAAATTGGCAGCAAAACATCCTGTATTACTAAAGTAACAGCTTATCTTGAGAAATCACTCAAGATAAATGAACTAAAGGAAATTTCACTCAAGAAAAATATGGCAACTTTTTTTTTTTCATAATACATGTGGTTTTTCCCTGAAAATGAAGACAGGGAAATGTCTGGACTTTACTCTTTCTGAAGAATGTTTTAAGCAAACAATGCACTGGGTATTCTCATAGCATGTTCATAGTTGGATCATTACTATTTCTCAGAAAAATGCGACTCACAGACCTGAAAACAAACAAATGAAATCTCAAAAAAATCAAACTTACCTCCCATGTTATTACCAAATTATCAGGTTCTGAGCCTATCCCTTGTACATTAGAAGGATTTTCATCAGGGTCTAAAAATAAAATATTTACACATGAACAAGAATGACTGCTGTTTGCATTCCAAGCAAATTCAATGCCATTCATTGTACAAATCAATCATTGGTAGAGTGGAAATAGGTATTTACTTGCAGATTTTGTCAGGTACTGCTCAGATGGTTCACTCGGCTGACTTCTGCCAATCTCATTGACAGCTACCACGCGGAATGAGTAGTTGATGTACGGAGACAACTTCAACTGTACTGTTGTCTGAGTTCCAGGAACTTCCGTCTGGTAATGCCATACCCCTGGTTCATGCAGCCCATCTTCATATTCAATCACAAAGTCTGTAAATAGAAATGCAATCCAACTTTATGTCAAAACTTGCAACACCTTCCTAGATCAGCGCAGGCATTTCCGAATGAGCTAATCAGAAGAGAATGATCCAATCAATGTTTATAAAAATCATGGAAACTGAAATATAAGTACATAAACCAGAACAAAAATCTATAATATGGATCTCAGAAGTACTGCTGTGGTAGAAATATAATAGAAACACTCTTACTTTTATTATTTGGTATTCTCACTAATGCAGCTACCTGTCAGGTAACGTGTTATTACAACAGCGCTCTCTCAGGTACTGCATTTTAATGTAAGAGGAACCCTTGAACTGTCACAGGAAGAAAGTGGGATGAGATTGGAATTTTGATGTAAAAGTAATATTAGGCTGAAAAATATACCGGTCTTAGTTGTATAAGGCTGACAGTATGTAGTACCTGTACAATATTAAAACTCTCTGAGTATTCCACTTTCCCCAGTGAGATTGCCTTAGTGAAGAACTATTTAAAATTAAGAACCAGTACTTAAGGAAGTTTTTGAGAGCACTTTTCAGTATATTTAAATTAAGTCAAGGAATATATGTTCAGAAGCTAAATTTCTTGAGAGTTCTCTGTGTGAACATCTTTTTTTTCAGCTGTGAAACAGCCAAAAAAGCATCCTGCTCTCAGAATTGTTAGGATACGGTAAATAAATGGGAGAAGAACGTGTAGTCTAAGTATATTCCATGGAACCTTAAGTTTAGATACACAAAATTTACATGAGCTTCAAATGTTTGTGTTTTGCAACAAAAATTTTGCTATATCTCATATATAGGTGAGGACAAGAAGACAGAATATGTCTCAGAAGACATCCTGTTTGCACTACTAAAGAAGTTCTGAGATGCATCTAGAAATTGCCTTTAGAAGAATACTTAGAGTAACACATAGAAATAATCCACAACAGTTTAAGGAGATAAGATGTTCAAGAAATAAACTAGATAGGTAGAACTAAACATAGCCTTCTGGACTTAAGGCTTGCAGATTTCATCATGACCTGAGTAATAAGAAAGAAGAACTTGCCCCAAATTATTGCCTGAGTTATAGCTGGTGGTGTGTGCTCAGAGATAAAGGTTTTGGGAAGGAACGTTTTCTAGACCCAACTATTTTTTGAGAAGGTGAGAATATTACATGCTAAAAAAAAAAAAAAACCACAAAAAAGCCACCATCAAAATTTTCACTGCTGCTATTTGCTTATCTAGTAACTAGCCCCCTGCCTGCAACTCTAGTAGAACAATTTATAGGAGACTTCAAGGAAAATAATTCTGTTTGAGCTTTCAGAGAGATTCTAGCATGTCAATCGTATTACTTCTGTAAAGGGATCTCCCATAATGAAGTGCTATCCTTGAGTCTTATCTGCACCTTGAAGTGATAGCAGCAGCAGTAATAATAGGCTTACTTATGAAGCAAATGCCTTATTTTGCAGGCTCTCAGAGGACCACATAGCAATATAAATAGTATCTTAATTAAAACCAGCTTTATTTAGTCAGAAGAATTCAATTTCCAGTATCAGAGTGCATGCAGTGTCTCGCTTCTAAAAATCTCAGATATGAGTCAACAACACCTAGTGTCCTCTCTTTTGAAACTATGTTCTCATTCCTACAGAAAGGCAAGACTTGAGTCTTCTGATCTGGAAAAAATTAGAATACTGATATGAGAGTATATGATTAAGCCATAACTTAAATGCAATTCAACTATTTACATTAAACTTCTCTATTATATTTTTAAATGTCTAATACTAGTTGATACGCATTAGACAAGTCTGAAAGTATAGAACTTCACCAAAAATCTTCAATGTGTTCTGAAATTTGTGCAATTTTACTTTCACAAACTTCCTTTACAGATGCCTGATCCTTATGGTTTGTGTTCAGTGTTGATACTGACCAGCATCAGGCCCTGGAGAGCAACTCTTGATAAGCCAGCCTAACTCATTCATTCCAAATATAATGTGTACACTGGTCTGAGTAACTTGTGGCAGTTACTAATTAAAAATACACTGCATAAGTAACTAATTACATTAAGCTGCTCATAATGAAGGCATTGCTACAACAAATCTTTCTGATCCTAATTTTTTCTTTTTTTAAAACAAACAGTAACTTTCTTCTTCCTTCCTCCTAAATTCCCTCTCTGTCCTCTCTGCTCACTATAAGCAAAAGTATCTTTCATCATGTTCTACTGGGAAGAATAATAGCATTTAAGATCCATTTCCTGTCTCAAAAGTTTATCGATGTTTACTTTCTCTGTCTTACAGACATGCTTCATTCCTTCAACTGTCTAGACTAGAAGAAAACTAGAAAAACTATATGCTTTATATTTTCATGAAGAATAAGCTTCTGTATCGGTAGTGATGGATAATTCCTAAAGATATTGGTGCTGATGCTATTTCAAATTCATGGAAATTACAAAAGAGTTAATGCAAGATGAAAGTAGCTCTCTCCTTCAGAAGCATGCAACTAATGAACAAGTCTACAAATTCATGAGACTGGACCTTGTCAGGTAGATAGATTTCATATCAGTATCAACTTCTGTGTTAACTAGCACAGGTTTTGGGATCAAAACCTCTTCAAGGCAGTAAGTAAGTCTTTGTGCTTGGCTGTACAGTAGAGGACATTCAGTGAATTTTCAGTAATGTAAATAAGTGGCAATGGTAGCAAATGAATTTACCATTCTTCCATGCTGTACACAAGATTTATCTCAGAATTGTTTGGAATCTGAGAACAGTTAACATAACGCTGTCAACCTAATGCAGTAGATACAAACAAACGCACTTGTAATGGGGCTGTTATTTTCATCTCCTGGTATCCATGAGAGTTCAACACTTCTTTCCAGCTGACCTGTCAATTCCAAGTCAAATGGTGGATTTGGCCGAGCTGTAAATCAAATGATCACAAAGTAAATAATCACACCAGAACATCTTTGAAAAAATCCTTTCATTCCAACCAAAAGGATTCCACAAATACATCAGGGTGGATCCACTCACTTATGTCAGCATGACTTAATGACCATTAGCATGCAATTGTTACAGAGATAAAATGGAGAACTGATGGATTTATAAACCTCTATACATTAACAAGAGTATATCTTTGATTTTATCTACATCTGATGGTACTGTGGGATAAGAATGTAATGCGTTGCAAAGAAATAGTTTAGTTTTATTTATCTTTAAATGATTACGGGTGGTTATCTATTGTCACTAGAATTACTTAATGAAACACGGAAAATAAGGAAGCATTCGCATCAAAGAAACTTCTAAAATCACTACAAATATTTTGCATGTCAATTCAAAACAAGTATAGTTCAAATAGAAACTAACTGCAAGTTATTAAGTAATATATTTTGTGCTGTACTTTTAAAAAATCCTAAAATACCATGCAAGCTGTTAATATACATCTTCATAATGCATAAAGATGTAATTATCCATTCTGAATTGCTGAAAATAATTTATTATCTGTTTTGTTACATAAAAATTAAGACTTTCATGAGTAGGTTTGTTTAAGAATACATACACATTTTCACTGAATGTGATAGGACTTACATAAATGTGCCTAAGTCACTCATACTTAAGTATTTTACGTACATTATACTGCATTTTAAAATCCAAATTCAGAAAAATTGCTAACAACAAATTAAAGGTTGTACACTGTCAAATTTAAGATTGTACCTGACTGACAGAATTTTATGGGAATTCCAGCCCTAATTTTAAAATCCTTATTAGCAATTTCATCAATCATAAACCAAGCTGTTCAATACGGTCCTATCCGTTTTATGAGTGAAGTAAAATGTAGACAAACTATGAAATAAATAAAGTACACCAGGTCCAAAAAGTGGTCATTAAAGCAATGTCAAAACATTCCATAAGTTGGTTGGTGCAAGATCTTTGATAGTGAATTAGCTTTCAATGAACAGGTGGTTTTACCTTTTATATCTTTAATTATGTAACTAATTTGCCTTATAGTGTTGTCTATGAGGAAAACATTATCACACTGTAACCAACCTTTAATTAAAAATAATTTCTCTCTGAAAATTATTTATTCCCTAAAATACAAAGCAGCCTGCAGTGTAAAATTCCAAAGGCCAGTATTCCACTAATGAAGCAGTTGGTAAAATGAAATGAAACCACACACACAAAAACAGGAAAAGGGAAAAAAAGAAAAGATATCGCACTTTGCAATAGGGAAATGAGAAATATATCTGGCAGATGATGTAGAAAGAGAACTTCATATTAGTTTACCGTAAATGATAGCTGGAGTTGGGGGAGCAGCTGAAAAGAACATTAATATAAAGGATTTAATCAGTTAGTAGCCAAAGAAACAGAATATTGTAGGTAATTAAAGACTATAATTATTAGAGACAACGAAAAGTTAACTTATTTAGAGTAAATGGTTGATTTTGAATAACACATTGATAATTTTTCAATGAAAAGTTATTAAAGTGTTCTTGAATATTTTATCCATTTTTTAATAAGTATAGATCAAGACAATAAATAAAGTAAGCAATCTCATAAAAACTTTTAAATAAGTACAAAACATTTGTTGTATGTCATTCATAGATAGGCACCAGATTACAACACAAGCATACTTGACTTCGAATCTCAGCTTGAACTCAGTTAAGAATCATTCAGGACATTTACTTAAAACTTTCTTACAAACTGGGAGAAGGTGCAAAGTAACATATTTTACAACAATCTGCAATCACAGAAACTTAACAGAGAGAACTAATTTAAAAAAGAAAATCACTGAAAAGTCATACAACCAAGCACACTCAGTCTTTTTGAAACATAATTTAGCTGCGAAAGAGATTCCTGAGATAACGTTTACATTCACTCTGCAATACGTGATCTACTGTGTTAGCTCAGATGTGATCCAAATAAAAACCTATAAAGCATGAAACTGAATGTGTCCTGTAGCTACTGGGCCCTTTTGTAAGCAGCTGATTCAAAGGCGAAATTTAGGGTAAGAATATATTTCAAAAATGAAACACATTTACAAATAGGTGACATTTCCTTTGTCCTGTCCTAGAAACCAAAACTATGTTTGTGCTTTTCATTTTAAATCTAATGCTGTTTTCATACTTAACAGTAATTAAACACAGTTCTGCTATCATAAAGTTTGAGAGTATTCTTACCAACAACAGTAAGCACAGCACTTGCTGAAACACTGTCCAGAGTAGTATTAACTATGCAAGTGTATGTTCCATCATCTTTATCAGTTACATTCATAATGGTCAAGTTGTCTTTACCAACTAGAAACCTGCAAATACAATAGATTCAGCCACTGATTTTTCAATAACTGGTACTGTTATAAGAAACTTGAATAAGACATTATCGAATCCTATATACTTATGTATTTCAGCAAATATCTAGAGAGCAATATAAGCTATGGCACTATGTCAGTCTTTCCTACATTGCTCTTGAACATCTTGCCACAGTAACTGTCTATCCTAATGTGCTTTTATTTCCAAATAAACTCAAACAACCTTTAATAACCTGTGATCTAGAGCAAAACAGTTTTCCATTATCCCTTTGGCTTCCTATGCCGATTATTTTCTCCTTGCATATGATATACATGGTCAATGTGCACAATTAAAAATGTTTATATCTCATTTTATTTTGAATTCTCTCTTAATATTTTCACCACTTTAGGTAAGTCCTTTAGTCATCAAATATGAGATAGTGATGATATTTATCAGTCTAATTTGGAAAATGTCAATCGGTCAGTATGTTCTGTTCCAAGATCAGGAAAAGAAGCAGACAAAAGAAACTAAAAAGTTAAAAATAAAGGAAAATTATTTTGTACATACCTTTCATCATCTGGCAGCTCATCATTGTCCTTCAACCATATAACTGTTGGTAATAAGGTAGAGTCATATTTTATTATACACTCAAATGAAACTTGGCCATATCTCTGGATCACTTTGTATTCTGGCTGTTTTATTATCATTGTCGGATCTGAAATTTAAAATGACTATTAGATATTTAGAAAGTCAGAAATTCTACACTATCCTGTGATGAAAGAGTGATTAATTTCTTACCTTTAACTTCCAATCGCACCTCATTTTGTATCTTTCCTAATTCATTCCTTGCTACACATGTGTATGTACCAGTGCTATCCTTCTGAGCCACTGGAATTTCCAGGGTTCCATTATCATGGAAAACGTATTCATTTCCACGCAAGATGCTACCTTTCACTCCCTTAAACCTTTATATAAAAAGTAGTATCATTATCCAACATCACACTTAAATTCTGTAGTATTTTACTATCACAAAATGCAAACTTGGGACTGCCACATTAGAAAATACAGACAAAATCATATGAAATTTAAACTTGACTCTGTAGGGATAACTTAACTGTTGTTACATTAATTACAAGAAATATTGTATTAACTTATTGTAATCAGCATATATTTAAAAATACACTATTTTAAAATTGTAAATAGAGTAAAAATAGTTTTAAAGCTTCAAATGTTTGTTTCTATATAACTGGCTCTTTTTACATAACTTAAGCACAACGACTGTAGCTTACCATTCGATTTCAGGCTTAGGTGAACCAAAAAAAGCACAGTCTAGCAATGCAGGGCTATCTGCAATGACTTGATACAGTTTATTAGCAGGAGTTAGAATTCTTGGTGGCTCAGCTGAAAAGACAAAGATATGTGGATACAGATACAAAGACGCAAATACAAAACACTAAGACATCAAGCATGGTCTAAAGAATTCTATGTTAACAGTCTTCTCTGAAGTGATTTCTGATCTCAGTCTAGGTCCAAAGATGTTCTAATGCCAGTAGCCCAAGGAAACATTAATGTAGGAGAATTATCTTGTGAAAAACAAATGCTTCTTTCCTGTTTACATGTTGTAGGGATGGGCACCAAAGGCAATGATTTCACTTTTCAAAATTTAAATCAGAATATACTTCAAGAAGAGAAACTCCTGGGAACAGACTGAACTATATAATTCTGAAAAAGCCTGCAGGCAGAAAGAAGCTAAGATGTATTTTTGGTGAAACACCTACGTTTTTTAAAGGAACCATGAAACCAAAGTGAGTTCTTTCATTTAGAAGACAGCGTCTCAATCAAATCTGCCAGTTCCTGCAGGAGAGTCTTTGGAGGCCATTCTGCCTAGGATTTTGCTACCAACTTTGTTAAATTTAGCAATATCTTGTAACTAGAAACACATTCTTGGGAGATCTTCAAGACAAATGCATAATCATGTCTCCTTGCAATACCAAATTAGAGATCATCTATTTAACTGATCCAAAACACTCCCAATCAATGAAAGTGTCCTGAAACATACTAACTTAAGGAATATTAATTCCTGCCTCATTAGTTATGCTTCTGTTTGCTTGATTTACCTAAACAAACAGAAAAAAGAGATAATATTTCTTACAAGTTTTCCCCGCCTTTCACAACTATCCTTCTTACTTAGGAATAAGGAAAGTGAAACTCACAAATATCCTACAAAAAACCCAGGTATGTATACCCTCGTCTTTTATACAGCTCAGGAAATGTGTCCATTCCCACTGAGGAACTCAAGCAAGGCTTGAGCATGCAACCCATGCAGCAGCAAAAGACAACTGAAAAGCATAAAATCTGTTTCTTACCCAAAACATTCACAAATGCGTTTGCCAGCAAGTATCCATATTCATTAGAAGCATTGCACTGATAGACAGCACTTGACCTTTCTTGCACATGTGAAAAAATAATGGTATCCCCATCTACCTTTCTGCTAGGATCTTCTGGAGCAACTGTTGGTGCAAAGAAAAAAAAAGTTGTTTTCCCTAAACTGCTGTTGGATGGTATGTTTCATACTTCTGAGAAAGACAAGCAATGTGAAAGACCAACATGCCTTTTCTTCTCTTATCATGGGTGACTCTTCACTGGTTAAAATGTGAATTTCAATATGATTAAGGAAGTTCTTCCAATTCTACACATATTTAACTCAGGATGGTAGAGTTACCATTTTTTGAGGGTTTTTCATACTAATTTGTTTTTCAAAGAGGTGTATTACAGAGGAAAATTAGTGATATGATAAAATTCAGGCAAATAAAAACAATATCTAGAAAAAATAAGGAAATATTTCTGAGTGTCAAAAGAAAATTATGTCAGAATGGCATTGGAACTTTACAATCCTCTATAACTTAAAAGGTTTCAGCTTTTCAAACCAGTTATTATATCATATAGTATAATCAGTTATTATACCATAAATAATTATAAGTAAAATAATAAAAAATATAAATAATTATTCAAATATATAAATAGCCTTACTCAGTTTAAAACTATCTCAGAGTAAAAACATAAGTAATTCACACAAAATCAAGTCTTCACAAGAGCAGTGATAGTAATTCAGTAGGTGGCACTCTTTTCCTTTTATAAAAATTATACATCATTTCCTCAACCTTTCTTCAGTAGCCTGAGCTGTTAAACAGCTCTTGCAATGCAGAAAAACTGAGAATATAATTTAAAATTAAATTCTGAGATATTACTGAAGAATAACAGTCGGTTATGATACAGCTGGAGGGAGTCAGAGAGGTACAACAGAGGAAAAACAGCTTGTAACACTGCACTACATAAAAATGCACAAACTATAGTTTAACATTTTAAGTAAATATTTAATCAAGACACATCAATGTATTATTAATATTGAAATTTAATTGTGAAATTATTTATATATAAATATTAAAAATAAATGCACATATGCACAAATAAATGCATCATAGTTTGGTTGCACCATCAAAATTGATACCCATACATATTACTGGAACTTGAGAAAATACGTATATTTGTGGAGGACGTTTTCATATGAAATAATTTCTAATTTCTTTGGATTCATAGAAAAGATCAAATAACTAAATGAACATCATTTTTCTTAAGTGGCAAAACCTTTTGATTCAGGCAATATCTCAGTGCTAATCTGTGAAGAAAAAGGAGAAATTTCTCCTACATTTTCTCAAATCTACTGATGTATCTGCTACTGAATTCTCTAAGAGAGATGAATGAAAGGTGACAGATGAAGCTGACCACAGTTCTGTGCTCCTGCTTAAGGGTATTTCCATCTTGGGTGGACTCTAAGGCCATTTTGCATGTAAAGTGCATCAATTTCCAAACAGATACCTCAAGAACAGTTTTCGACTCCATTTTTAACTCTTATCTTCCATCACTCTGAGTTCAAATCAATATCGAAAATTCAAAAAGTAAAAGTGCTACTGAAATTTTATTGATGTCTCTGGGCTTCTGAATTGCTGGCACTTATTTTTCTCCTCTTTTGCTTTACTTCCTATTGTGTTCCATGTTCCCCCTTGCTTCCTATTCTGTGTAAATGCCATTTTCATTAAAAGATTCATGGGCTGAAAATAGATGGAGCATATGAGTAGCCCAGCAGGCAGGCCAGTCAGCTGTGAGAAGTGTCTGTTTCTGCATACAAATCATTATTAAATGGAAAATATGCACAACCGCCCTCCCAGGAGGCAGGAGATCAGCCCACAGCCGTTCCAATCACCACTGCTTCCTGCACTGGGCTCTGGGCTTCCCTCCACTCCTGCCCTCTGAATCCTGCAGCATTTTCTGCACACAAAGTGTTAATGGGTGTGCAGGCTGCCCCCCTCACACACACTCCCATACATAATACCTTACAGGCTCCTAGTAGGGGCTCTTCAGAGAGATGGAAGCCATTAGTTCAATTTAGGGAAAAAAAGATATCCCTCTACAGCTATTTGAAGGAAAGGAGGTTGGTGTCTGTTCTCAGAAAAGGGCTTCGAGCTGTGGGTCTCAAGAGGAAAAAAAAACAAACAACTGAGGAAAGTGTCAGGTTAGTCAGTGCTTCCTTCTGACTGGTCTAGCCACGTGCATGCTGAAGGGCACCAATTTTAGAAAGCTCTCTGTTGAGGCTGGCATCTGTTCAACAGTCTGTCTTCTGACATCCCTCATCCTCCCACGCAACGCCCACAGAACCTACACATCTTTGCCCACGTACTAGGCTGTGTCTTGCAGGGCCAGGCCCTGAAAGTTAGATACTGTATCATTCAGCTGCTTTAATGATCTTAAGCACACACTGCTGCACTCACACATACGGAATGGTTGAGGCTGGAGGGGACCTCTGGAGGTTCAAATCTGGTCCAAGTCCCTGCTCAAGCAGGGCCACCTAGAGCCAGTTGCCCTGTACTGTGTCCAGACAGGGGAAGGATCACTTTCCTCGATCTGCTCACAATACTTTTGTCTAATGCAGCCCAGGATAACATTAGGCTCTTTGCCACAAGGGCACGTCCGGCTCATAGTCAACCTGGTGTCCACCAGGACGCCCAAGTCCTTCTCTGCTAAGCTACTTTCCAGTTGGGTGGCCCCCAGCATGTACTGGTGCATGAGACTGTTTCTCCCCAGGTGCAGGACTTTGCACTTCTCCTTGTTGAACTTCACAAGGTTCCCATCAGCCCATTTCTTCAGCCTGTCAAGATCCCTCTGGATGGCAGCATGACCCTCTGGTGTATCAGCCACTCCTCCCAGTTTTGTGTCATCAGCACACCTGCTGAGGGTAAAACTCCGCTCAATCATCCAGATCATTAATGAAGACATTAAACAGGACTGACCACTGGGGTACACTGCTAGTTACTGGCCTCCAACTGGACTTTGTGCCACTGATCACCACCCTCTGGGCCTGGCCATTCAGCCATTTTTCTGTCCACCTCACTGCCTGCTTATCCAGCCTGTACTTCAACAGCTTGTCTATGAGGATCATACAGGAGACAGTGTCAAAGGTCTCACTGAGGTCCAGGTAGACAATATCCACTGCTCTTCCATTCACCTACCAGGCCAGACACTTCATCATAGAAACGTATCAAGTTGGTGAAGCCATGCTGACTACTCCTGATGGTTTTCTTGTCCTTAATATGCCTGGAAATGGTTTCCAGAATTAGCTGCTCCATCACCTTCCCAGGGATCAAGGTGAGGTTGACCAGCTTGTAGTTCCCTGGTTTCTCCTTCTGGCTTTTCTTGAAGGTAGAAGTAACATTTTCTTTCCTCCAGTATTCAGGCATTTCTTCCAGTTACTATATTCAAAGATTACTGAGAGTGGCCTTGCAATTACATCTGCCAGCTCCCCCAGCACTTGTGGGTGCATCCCATTAGAGCCCACAGACTTACGTATGCCCAGTTTGCTTAAATATTCTCTGACCTGATCTTCTTGCAGCATGGATATATCTTGCTCCAGCCTTTCCCATGGTCTCTGAGGCCAGGATTCCCGAAGGCTGGTCTTGCTAGTAAAGACAGGCAAAGAAGGCATCCAGTACTTCAGCTTTTTCCATGTCCTTATTTTTTTACTTAAAATGAGTTTGTACAACCAGGATAATGAATGAGGATTTACTATAAGAGTTTTGCTGCTGTAACAGACAGTTCAACATGTGCCTGTAACAGACAGATGAACTTGTTCCCTGTAACAGCCAACATTTAGTCCCAGTAACATCGATTCTCAGCTTATGAATGGGGTTATATCTTTTCTGGATAAAGACCTGGTTGCCTGGTTTCACCTAGTTTTGCCATCACTTTGTATAATAAGACAGCTTCTCAACTCTGTAGCTACATACAGCATATTCCTTTACAGAGAAGGTATAGCCTCCATTAGACAATTTTGTCATAATCAGCACCCTATGTATCTTCTGTTCATCTGAATGTGTATTGTCATCTGTTTCATAAACTTCAGACAGCCCAAGCAATTACTTTTGTTAGTATGTTTAAATAACCACTATGGCATCATTATAATTTTTTTTCTTGGGAAAAAAGGCAGATCAAAACGTGTTCTCTGAATAGAAGCAGGAACTCGAACAAGTTGCCCAGAGAGGTGGTGGAGGCCTCATCCGTGGAGATATTCAAGGTCAGGCTTGATGGGGCTGAGCAACCTGACCTAGTAACATTGTCCCTGATTACTGCAGGGGGATTGGATCAGATGATCTTTAAAGGTCCCTTCCAACCCAATGCATTCTATGAGTCTATGAACAACTGTCAACTGATAATGCAGTACATAATATAATATTATCAGCCCAAATAAATTATACAAACTTCAGCCTCATCTGTAAGAAAGATACATATTTTGGGCAGAAAATTATTAAGACATTAAATTTGCCTAAACAACTTTAAATTTAAGCCCTGTGTAAAACTGAAAAACAAAAATCCATTGCTTGGAGTTGTGGGTTTTTTTAACTTTATTCTGAGGGTGGCCAGACCCTGAAACAGGATGCCCAAGGAGGTTATGGAGTCTCTGTCCTTAGAGATTATTCAAAATGTGTCTGGACACAGTCCTGATCAACCAGATGCAGTCAACACCCTGCTTGAAGCAGGCAGGTTGGACTAGATAATCCTTCCACCCTCAAATATGCCGTGATACTATGGCTTTAGGTTTACCTAACAAGCAATGTAGACTGAAAATAATTCACTGGGAATGAGGCATATACCTTAGATTGTGATTCTGCTGTTTGCTGTTGTTTAGAAAATCTAACAATGTGAAATTCATTGTTCCTGAAATCTGTCCTTAAGTTTATGTACACATAATAATGAATGTAAATGGGAGCATGAGATCGTACTGGCTCTTAAGCCATGATTTTCAACAACTCTAACTTCACGGACAGTTTTGAAGACCCTGATATTGCGTAAAAATATGAAGAATGCCAAGACAGAAGGTTAGGTGCTTTTTTTCTGGTATGACTATAGAAACATATGCTCCTTATATAGTGATGTTCATGTATACTTTTCAAGTTCTGACAGGATCACAGGATCACTTGTATTATAGTACCTTTTGCTAGAAGTATCCTATCATTCTGCTTGACCTGCTTCTTTCTCACATTCATGAGTAATTTATGAATATAGTAACTGTTTTCAAAACCAGTGAAGTCTTTCTGTGGTTAAAACTAACTGCAATTGAATGACTGAAATGGGATTTTTGAAGAATTACTTGTATAGTTTTGGACATTTGTTTTCAGATAGATTTGCTAAGACAAGAGCAGAACATGACAGAATGAGGCCTTAACATTATCAATGAACTAGCCAAGAAAACTGGAACATCCAGAGTGTAGTCATCAAGGTGGCTTGATAAAAATACAAGTTGCTTATGGAGGGAGCTCCTGGTTTTCTGTAGATTATACAAATGAGCATCCTCTGGCTATAGCTGACTTTCCTTGTAATATTTGAGAACCCAAATCAAGGGGCTATAACACAAAATCTGTTCTCTCATATGTCTGATCATATTGCCTAAACACCAGATTATATATGTAGAGAATGTTATGTGACTAGAATCCTTTTTTTTTTTTTTTTGCAGGGCAGGGCTGGGCGGCTGGAAACTATGCTTTTAGAGTTGAATACAAAATTGGTAGTGAAATAGCAGAGGTGGACAGTATAGTGCATCAGACACTTGAGGACCTCTATGGTCAAACCAAGACTGAACCTAAGCAAGAGAAACAAGAAACATAGGTAATACAGTTTTGCGTTACTCTACCCCTTACAGTGAACTGACAAAGATTTGATTCTCGAAGAGATGGGACACGGAAGAAGATGCCCTTTCCCTTTTCTTACTAGTCTCACTTGTTGCTCAGCAAATTGTACTCCTGTGATCACTGAACCTTTGTTTCCAAGTTTCTGATAGTACTATTACCTCGAAAGGGACAGCAGGATGTTACCTGCACTAGCCATGACTGCCTTTTGACCATATTGTGCAGAATAAAAAAAACTTGATTGGGGAAGGTTTTCATATCTGCTGCAGCTCCTAGGCCAGATGCACAGTTCCAACACAATGACAGCCAAAGCAGTGGATAAACGCCTGCCCTGACACTTCTTCCCTCTCTAACATTGAACTCCTCGGGGCATCCGAATCCAGATGGTTTCTCCCATGGTTGTGTTGAACAGCCTGTGTGTGTACCTACAGAAAGCACGATGGATGACGAATCTCTGAGCCAAGGATTATCAAGGCCTTTCATGAAGGAAATCTAAGGGCTAATGTCTCCCCCTTAAATCCAATGTGATTACTAACGAAGGCTAACTAAAACTTAAGATTTAATGTGAAATGTGATATAAACAAGCAAAGAGCATGCTGAAAGAAGATAAACAGCACCTTTCAGTGCACTACTTTGTATGAATCTAAGTGTGTGTATTTAATATTTAATAGCTCATCATGGACTATAAATCACTGAACCAATAAATTAGTCTTTTGTCCACTACTTGCAATGCCTTTCTGAAGTCCAATTATGAAAGTGCTTCCCCTTCCCAATTAATCTGGGTTGTTACTTTCTTAAAAGTTGAGATACTTTATGCATGATTTCCCTTCTGTAAAACCATGCTGAATATCTAAGCAGTAAAACACAGCGGATTATGCAGCAGTATGAACAATGTAGATCTTGAGTGTTAATTGAAGCACAAGGCAAGGCATAGTCATGGCCTCAACTTTCAATTGCTACTTGCCAAAGCAATTCTAATTGACCTCAGCGGGACCGTGCATGTGAGTTCAAATTTCTCCTGTGAGTAAACATTAGGAGGTTAGGTCCTTATCACTCCAGCATGTTTGAAGCAGCTTTTTGTCAGACATGCTGGAGCTCTTCTTTAAAGCCTAAATGTTGAAGAAAATTAATTAAAGTATTTCAAAGATACCTAAAAACTTCCTTTAAAAATAGCTTTTTACTCTGATAAATATAATCTGGAACAAAAGTTACACCACTGTGGTTTTTTTATCATAGGTGCTTAAGACACAGTTCATTTTTTCTTTGTTCTTCCCTTTTCCCTTTTGCTATTTAAGCCCCATCCATTGACTGAGATACGGACGAGTGGTTCTTTCCCCCTTCCTCGTCTGACTCTATTATGGAAAAACAAAACTGGAAGAATTAAGCATCTCCCAGTTCTGCTTTCCAATAGAAAATTAAAGTATTGCAAACAGATTACTGGGCCACAGGAGGCACATTGTGAGATATATGATGACAGCAGGGCTTTGAAATTCAAATGTAGTTCTTTTTCTTTGAAATCCTGCCATGGGTGTAGCTCTCTCAGCACTGCCCTGAAGCTGAAACAGCTGCTTTAGTTTCCTTTTACAGTGATTTACTAATCATCCAATTGGAAGAAGAGGGACTCAATTCTGTAATTTACTAACAAGTGAACAAAAAGGCACACTGTACTTGGTAGTTTCCAGACCAGCTTTTGACAACTCAAGAATAACAAAAATCACAAGAAACTTAAAAACTGCACTTTCTGTGATTATGATGCTTCTCTTTTTTAGATGCCCTGAGAGATTCAGTGTACTGGAGCATGCAATCAACTTGCACTTAAATACTTAAGGTGGAAAGAACTTTAGCTCTTCTCAGCAGCGTAAGTGACCTTTAACATAATGCTGAGCTACCCAGTTATTTATTTCCTGTGTTCTTTTTTTCTTCTCCTACTGAGGTTGAGTGGGTAATTTAATTAAAGTCTCTTAATTTTTACTGAGTTCCCTTCAATAAGAGTCTGTGCACTGATTCCTGAAGGCCAGCCAACCAATACATGCTGCCCTCATATTTGGGAAATTCAGTGGCATCTTGCAGCTGCTTCTGAAAACTCTGTTTCTTAATGTTTTTCTGCCATTCTGCAAGAATGCAGAACACATCACTGCTTTTCTGAAAAATGCACTCATCTGTCATTTGAACAGCACATCCTACAGCTTTGACAAGGAACCATTGTGAGGCAAAGCCGAATCTCACACTCATAAGAAAAAGATTTTACTAGTCAGGAGGCCTGAAGAATTAAACTATCAGGACAGTAGGATAAAAAGTTCCTCAGCGCAAACCTAAAATAGTTAATGGTAACTATATAGAAAATGGTGAGGAAAATGAGACCACTCAGATCCCAGAAAGAAAGGAGCAGGATAGGTACCAAACTTTGATTATAAGGCATGCATTATAATATATTTACGTACAATATATACAATACAGAATTACACTGATATTTTCCTGTTTTCCTGTAATACCATTGTTTGATGAGGTGGTTAATGTCAGCTTACATAAATTATTTAACCAATGAAAACTTCTTATTTTAAATCTCGGGTTAGAGATCTCAACTTACACTAATTAGGACTCCTGAAGCAGGTGTTTTGCTGAATATTTTTACGTTTCAATACCCTTGCTCTTCCCCCCAAAGTTGCATATTTTTCCTTCTGGTTCAGTTTGCATCCCAAATATTTTGAATGTATCTAATGAGAGTTCTCTTTACCTGTTGCTATTTCCTGGATTCTCACTGCAGAGAACCCTCCTCTTTGTCCCAAACTCTGTGATATACTTATACATCTCCTGAAACTCCTGAAAGTTACACTCTCATACTTTCAATAGGTCAGCACATACCAGTATTTTAGAGCACATTATCTCTCATGAGCCAACAGAGTAGATTGTCTGCTTTAATAATACAGTTTTGGGAAAGAGGCATGATAGAAGTAGAAGAACCAAGTGTGATTTTACCATACAGGCAAAGCTAACTGACAAAACACTGCAGTGTCCTCCAGCAAGTTCTTCCCAAGTAAAGTTCTTTTATATATAGCAGCGATCTTGTGTCTGTCATACAGCGTTTCCAGTCATAACACTGCAATAATTAAGTGACTCAACCACCAATTCAGGGTTGCTTTTCTTACCCATGCACAAAGAAACAGCTGTTTCACTGCCTTAGGGGTTCCTTTTCTTTGACACCTACTTGGCACAAGCTGTTTGCCAGGCACTTGCTGACGCATTCAGTCAGTTCTGCTGCTGCTGCTTTTTAGTGCTGAAGCCTGGAAACCCTAAATATTCTAAGCTGCAAATTCAGCAAAAGTGCTCTGTCCATCCACAGAGGTGAGTACTTGCCTTTTTTTGTCACCTTTACAATTCCTAGACAAAATCAGTGCCACAGTGGGGTGGCAAAGGAGAGATCTAGCTAATGCAATGTCATGGCAACACAATAGTAAAAATTACACCCCAGTAGTATCCTTGTCAAAGGGACATGGTGCAGCTTTGTTACTATGGCCCCATCTTCATAATGACACCACCAGCAGAACACGAGATGGGACAATGAGGAGTACAGTCACAAGTTTTAGAGCTCTCAAGCACATTAGAGGCACAATTTGCTGTTCCACTTTCATGAACCAGAGTATTTTTATCACCTCATTTATAATTTAGTATTATCTGTCAGGCAAAACCACCTCAAATACATGCTCTTCATTTATATTCAAAAAACACCCTGATATTCCTCATATTCTCTTACTCATCCTCCCATAAGGTAATTAAGAATCTTACTTGCTATGGGAACACCATTTGCTAACCAGCTTATATCAGGCTTTGGGTTGCCATTAGCTCTGCAGATCAATGTCCCATCTTCTCCAGGAGATAAGACCAGGTTTCTGGGTGCTGTTATCCAGTATGGGGCAGCTGGTGTCAGAAACAGAAACACAGCAATCGTTTTCCAAAATCATGTACAGAAAATCGTAAGGCACAGTCATGGTAGCCAGAAGATAATTCAAACAAGGTATGAATAGATTTACACTTACACTGTTAATTTTATATCTATATATGTGATACTTAATGATTAACTGGTAGATTATACTTGGCTAAACTGAGCTACTGGCTACCCACTGCATTAAAAAAGAGGGCAGCTATTTACTTCAAAATTCTGAGACAAGCAACAAGAAGTTCTTTGTCTTATTTAGGACTGTGTGCTTTCAATCTAATTTGCCTTTCCTAAACAAAGAAAAATTTATCTGAGTATGGCATCTGCAGTGACTAGAGTGGTCTTTTGATTCATTTCAGAGATATCCATGCTCACAGCAGTTAGGCTGTTAGAAATGGAATTAGGTTAGAACTGAATTTAGGTTCAATTACATAAAAAGATTTCATGTCAAGGGTGAAATTCAGAAATGGCAAAATTCTCAGTCTCACTGAATTCAATGGGTGATTGCAGTGGGGCTACATGTTTACCTCAGGCAGCTGAATACATACAAACATCAAAACGGACTGAACACTGTCCTTACCGAAAGATATTAATCTATGTCTCTGTCTCTTTTACAATAAATAACCACAGACAGCATATGTTATCACATCTCGAAATTAAATTTCAGATTTTGTATTGATGGACAGATGCAAACACAAAATGAAAATTCTGCTCTTGAAAAGGAGGTTGAATGAGACCATAAAATCATGCTGGTCTACAATAAAATACATGGCTATTTAGCATGCAATAATTTAGCATGCATTATTTTGATGACTGATTAGCTGTCATTCCAGTTGTCATTTTTTTTCCACAGTATTCAAAACATACTTACAATTCCTATTTGGACAAACACAGAAAACCAGAAATTACAATTAAGAGAGAAAAAGGAAGAAGAATATAAGACCACAAGACAAAAAGTAAATTGGAGAAGAGAAAGAATCTGCACTATATGAATGGAGAGCAGTAAAGATGGAGAAAAGAAGGTGATGAAGAAGACAGATGAAGACACAAAAACAAGAGAAAAAAGCCATCTAATGACAGCTAATCAAAGGATCTAAAATAAATGTAGCACTGGTACCAGCTAATAATTGTTTTACGACTGTTACATTATAGTCTCAATTTAATCTGCTGTTGTACAAAATAACATATTTTAAAAAGACAGAGAGATTAGAGATAGTAAAGTCCTTCTAGCTGTAGAATTCAGTTGGTTTAATAATGATTTCACCAGGGGTTGATTTTTTTTACTATTATAATTCTTCCTTTCAGCTGTATTTTATCTTAGAAAGCTTACTGCAGTCTTGCACTCTGGACACTGACAATATTACATATTAAGGATTATTTTAGTTACTACCTTTCACAGTTACTGAAATGACATGGTGAGCAGAACCTAGTGTATTTCTTGCTATACATTTGTAGTTTCCAGAGTCCGCTTCAGAAACATCTATAATCTTGAGAGTTTTCTTGAAGTTTTCAAAAAAGGTTCTGTTGGCTGGCAGCTCCCCGCCCTCCTTAATCCAGCGGATTACTGGTGTGGGTCTGGAGAAGGAGAAGCACAGATCAAATTTAGAGACTAGAGAAAAGAAAGGTAAGAGTTCAATACATTAACTTTTGAACATATATTTTACAAATAATTATTTTAAGAGCCTTTACCCAAATTTTGAGGCATGCCCAGCAAATGTGCAAAATATGCCAGCATTTGTTTCTAGGAAATGACAAGCCTCACTAACACTGTCATTGGCCATCTGCTCATAAGCTTGATAACTATGGAATACATTTGTCTGCTGATTAATCTAAAAACCTGATGGTTAAGAAATGAATACAAGTGTATTTCAAATCTTACTGCACTTATATTATTAAACTGATGCACAGGGTGCTTTAAAAAGGTAGTTTCTAGATATGCACAAGTTTATAATTGTCCTTCATTCACGCAATATCCTAGTGCTTCACGAATGTCACAAAATTTACAGCAGAGCTGTCAGGAGACAGAAATATTTCCTATGAGAAATCAAGGAAAAAAAAGTCAGTGCTGAGTCAAACATCACTTGTCACTGCATCATGTCTAAATCTTGGCTATGCTCCTTGTTCTCCACTGAAGCTGAAAGTTGTCCAAACACATGGAGATACACTTTTAATATTACAAGAAATTGCAAGGTCTTGCTTACTGAGTAGAATGTCCTCTCTCAAACAGTAATGATTCAAGGCAAATATTCCTCTCGCGTAACAGGGACATCTAGTCGACTTTCAGTTATAGTATCAGTGATTCGGAATAGTCATTTTAAAGCAAATCTTGCCCTTTGTGGACAACTATGTAAGCTTCCCCCATTGAGTTATTTTTTTTAAGTACATGACAGCTAAAGACACAAAGTCATATAATGCATAATATTCAATGTTTTCTCCTGTTTTTATCAAGCCATTTTACTGTAGTTTGGATCACTGAATACTTTTATTGCAGGGTTATCAAATAACATGTAACTATACTGCAAATGAAGATGACTTGAGCTGATGCCACTCCCACTCATAGATGTGATTTTGCTACTGGTGCTGATGCAAAGACACCTGAGTAGACCACAGCTGCGACAGAAACACTGCACTGATGCTCGCATCAAGCTGCGTCAAGCTGTGCTTAAGCATGCCCTGTGGAGCTTATGCTAGTGAATACATCTGCACGATGCTGTGCTGCATCATTTGCAATTATTGGCTTTCCTCACAGCTACCTCAGAGTGCTCTGTATTATATGCTTTCATGCACAGTAAATATGTTTATAGTTCCTGAAACAGACAGATTTTCCACTTCTGCACTAACCGATCTATTCTCAGATTCCTTCCTGAGAATGAAATTGGTTTCAGATCAATCTTGCGAAGTTAATGAAGTTAAATTGCTCTTGAGTAATTTTCTACTTGCACCATAAGCAGCAGAAGTAAACTTTCATTGCATCGAAGAAACAAGTACCAATTAAATTCAATTACAATGAGAAATTAGATGTAAGGAGCTGAAGGTATGTTATAACAAATCTCACCTAGCTCATCTACTACGTAATTATTAGCATATGTGAGCAGGTTTATCAGATTAGACCAGCAGATTCTTATCTGTTTTCATATAATCTGAGAGCCTGATTGTAAATTTAGGAAAAAAACAGACACTTGATTCCTAAGGGCAATTCTGCAGATGTCTGTTCAAGGTTGCGTTATTGCGTTTCTTGCTCGTGTCCTTTAAAAAAAAACATGGAACAACCTGAATCTTGTGTGTAAGATTTAGAGATACGAGAAGGCAGAGGCCATAATATTTATGTTCATAGTCCATTTTAAAATCTGCTGATGCCCAAGTAAATGGTGGACTTCCTTAAAAGAGCTCCTTCCATTTTACGTTTCTGCTTCTTTGATATACCTAAGCTTATATTGTGGTAACATTCTAAGCATCTCTGAAATGCTTCCCTCTGTTTCTGTATTTTTATTTAGAAAAATGCTGTCTAGAAAGTAACTCACAAGCCTGCTGCAATGCACTCCAACAAAAGCACATTTCCTCTGAGTTCCACTTTGGTACTTGTGCTACCTGTTGGTGTTAGAAGAACTGGCTGCCTCTCTGTAACTGGCTTCACTGGAACAAGAAAAAAATAAAATAATTAATGTCTACATTTTAATACTGATCAAATGCATACATTCTCACATTGTGGACAGAGATTTTGCTCCACATTGGCCATTTAATTAAAAATCGTCGTGTTACACAATTACACAGCTCAACAAATTAGGTTTTTGACAGGTGACATATCTCAATCTGTTAAGCACTATAATTTTGAAAACATACATGAAAAATGTTAATATTAAGGACAAAAGCAATTGATTGTTTTTTCACATAGGCAACTATGCAGCCTGATGGATGGATGTTGAGCCTTAATCCTAAGCAGGCCCTATTCACTTCCATGAAACTATTACAGGGAGTAATAGTCACTGATGTGAGTCATAGTGCAAGACTAAGAGTTACCAAAAATTTCTGGGTTTCCAAGAAAACACAAAGAAAGCTAAGATATTGTATTCAAAAGTATAAACCAAGGGGATAATAGGTACACTCCACTTTGCAATATGCTTTGTTCAATATTTTCTAGACAACGTAAGGCATCTTTTCAGAAGCTAAGCCTTGTATTCTCCTCTTACTGTATATTTAACTTTAATTCAAGCTGTTCCCCAGTCTGGTAATAAAGAACCATTGATTAACCCACAAAAAATAACCACAGTAAACAGACAGCTATAAATATAAGACCCATTTCTGACTTTATACTCTGTTGGCTCTTGAAGTATTACGGTATTTCATGTGCCTTCACATAAGTCAGAATAAGACTGCTTTCTGTAAATACTCTAATTCTCTTTTATAGCAATTTTAAAATATAGGATTATATTGCTCTAAAGTGCAGAAGCAATCTAACCACTACAGTAAATTATTGTATTTTTTAAAAACGGGAGCAGAGATAAATAATAAACTCTTGTTTGTTAGGGTACAGGATTTACTGACAGATTAACATAAATAAACTACTTATTTTTAATACAGTGTGTACTATGAATTCCTTAAAAACTAGTACAGAAACGACTTCAAAGTTAGGACAAAAGGGGGATCTAGAGTGAAAAGCGCAGCTGATAACAGTCAGAGGCAATAGCTAATCTGCCCAGCTTTGACACTGCTAAGGACCGTGGACTCATTCTGTAAGACTAAGAAAATTCAGAATTACCTCTGGTATTTCTGAGATTTGAGCCAACCAAATGGTGTTTTCCTCACTAATTGCAGCTAATGTATCATTCTGTGCTCAGATACATTTTTCGTGTTTGTTCCTGAATGACATCTTATTCTTATGCAGAGAATGCTCTGTACCCCTGTTTTATTTTAGATTCCCATAAATTACGGTTTAATATGTACAAAGCATCATTTGACAGGGAAAAAGACAAAAACAGAAGAAATATAATGTATTTTCTATCTATCTCACACAAAAGCCAGTGTAGAGTCTAGAACCTCAAGTGTTACGGTATCAGTGTTGCTCCAAAGTCAGCCTCGCTAAACACACACATACCTGTTCAGGAGGATTTAATTTATAATATACAAAAGACCATTCAACATAGATTAACGTAAAGACCAGCTTAAACACCAGACAAACAAAACTAATCTTTCTCCTACGAAGTTATTTACGCAGGTAATATTAAAGTGTTTAGATTTTACACATATGAAATAAGTTAAAAATGAATGGTACTTATATTAAAGGTGAAGTGCATCTGTTAAATGCTTAATTGTTGTTATTTATAATGCAACACATGATACTGAATAGTCCTAGTGATAATGAACATATCAATACTACCAGGTAAATTGGAGGAAATAGATAAAAGTATAAATATTAAAAATATTAAATAAAATATAAAAAAATAGAAAATAGAAAAATATTAAAAAGCAACACGGTATAGAAGCAATCACACAGAAAAAAAATTAAATCTGCTCCAGTGTGAAAGGACTCATTTTTATTGGATATTAGGAATTTTTTTTTCACTGAAAGGGTTGTCAAACAGTGGAACAGGCTGCCCACGGAAGCAGTGGGGTCACCATCCCTGGAGATATATAACAGATGAGTAGGTGTGGCACTCTGGGACACGGTTTAGTGGTGGAGCTGGCAGTGCTAGGTTAATGGTTGGACCCAATGACCTTAAAGGTCTTTTCCAACCAAAGCGATTCTATGATTCTATTACAAGAGTTTGCATTTTTTATAAGTCATATGTTACAATAACATTGAAACATTAAATATTTGAAAGGACCACACTGTGCAGTCCCTTCCTAAAGCATGTATTATCACCAGCACTAATGGATACCTTTATTAGAAACTGAAAAGGGAACAAAAGGTTAAGTAGCCATGGAGGTGAAGTTAGTTAACTAAATGCTACTGTGAAACAGGGAGTATCAGTGGGGACCAGTGTAACTCACCACCATAAATATCAGTGTCACTCAAATTAGCAGCTATAGTGTCATTCAATGAATCCACTGAAATAAACAGAATATCATGAAGAATGCATACACGAGGGATAAATCAAAGTACTGGGAATCAAAAGGTGATGACATGGCCTCAGTGAGTTAATCAAATGATTGATTAATTTGTTTCAATAGTTACAATAATCATAATAAATTTATATTCTTGGACATGAAAACTATTTGAAAATTACTATTTATCACACTGTATTTTTTCAGTATTTCAAATACTACAAAACATCTTTTCAAAAGACAAAGCCTGATTAAAAAAAAAATGACAGCTTTTAAAATTAATTATAAGTCAGGAAAACTGGATATTACATTTTAAGTTTACAGTAATGTAATTTCTTACTCAGAATTAAAATGACAAAATTCCCTAGCATAACACAACTTAAGCAAATAACTTGAGAATTCTGGATAAATACTATGTAAGTATGTAATTAAGTAATGCAATACCTACTTGAAAAGACTTTTACAGAAATGGGTTGTTTCTGCTGTATAGTTTGCGTATGATTAAATCTTGCATAGCAGATATAGTCCTCCCGGGTGTCTTCTGGTTGTACATTTGAAAAATAAAGGTCTCCGTTTAGACCTTGGGAAACTCTTTCACTTTGAGGCAGCCTTTGGAAAGCTAAGGGAAAACAAGAACAAGTTGGTCTCTGTTATAATACACATTACATTGTTATGATCTGCAGACTCCACATTTGTTCCATTTAAGCTGTTTGTAAATCTGTCAATATGAAGAACTTTCAAAGTTTCCTCTAGAGCTCCCCAGTGTGTTAGTTTACAACTTACATCAAGATCTCCAGCTGCTTTTGGCTTCATGCTTTTGGGCTGCATGTCTGCTTGTTTCTTCATTTCTACAGAAATGGAAATTCTTTGAATTTTAACTTAGATGGAAACTTCACTATCTGTGGTCTTGGTAAGCAATGATGAACTATGTAGACAAACTGCAAAAACTAAACTCATTCTGCACAGAAAACAAACTCACCATTATCCATCCAAAATATTATAGGTGGTGGTAAGCCAACAGGAGGTCTGCAGTGTAGTACTAGTGAATCTCCTTCTCGAACGTGGTTTGGTTCTAGTTTTTCTTTTGTCCACAAAGGGGATCCTACAGAAAGTAATTTTAACATTCACAAACTATGGACTGACAAAATTACCAGAATTTAAGAAAGAAACGTAGGTAACATTCCAGTAAAACAGAAGAACTACATGCATCTGCATGTTATGTCCTCCCATGTTTACTAAAGATTTAATTTTTGTTCTTTTCTATGTGTTCTTTAAAAAAAATTGTACAGCAATGATATGCTGAAAGTATAATCAACTGATTCATTTTTTTTGGCTACTCACTAAAGGTTCTATAATAGTATTTTGGGAAGTTTTAACTATGATAATGCAAAAAAAAGTGATGCACTAAACAGTATTATACAGTTTTATTTAAACACGTGAGAACAGCACATTTTAAGCTGACAAGCTTGATAAACTAATCTGACATAAAAATCACATAAAAAGCTGTAAAACAGTCTATTTTTTGGGTTTATCTTCTTTTTAGACCAAATCTGTTCTGTATTAAAGCTATCATAAAAACTACGGAATACATGCATCAGAAAGAAAATAAAAATTGTTCTCATCACTGATGTGCATTAAGGATTTAAACATTTTATTCTAATTGCAGTGTCATACACGCAACCAAATTTTAAACATGGTAGGTCATTCAAATGTACCAAAGAAAGGAGGAAAGCATTTTGATTATTATATTTTCTAAGGAATACTGGAGAGAACATGCAGTACATTATTAAATCTGAGTATCAAACTATGCAATATCTTCTAACATGATCACTTTGATGATTAAATTTTTAAGACAGCAAAAAAAAGCAACATATTCACATTTTATGAAAATTAAGAACTTCACTTACTAGAAGGCCTGATAACAATATTGTTGGAAATGGCTGCTCCTCGTTCATTCCTTGCTGTACATTGGTATACTCCTTCATATGCTTCTGCCTTCCCACCATTCATAATATTTACGACAAGGGTCCCTGAATTTGGTTTCATTGTTACTAGTGCATCTTTATCTATATCAAAATGAGTTCCATTGCGTGTCCAGGAGAAGCTAAAATAATAAGAACAAAAAGTTTCTTCTTCAGTTGCCTTTTGTAGATTGTACAGAGAGAAAGAGCAGAAAAGTAGTTTTCAGTAATACATGGTATTTTTACTTCTGCAGATAAGTAAGATCATTCCTGAACTAAATTAACTAATAAAGTAATAGACCGCTCTTTAATACAAGAACTCTGGCAATACTTTAAGATAAAAGGCTTGGCTGAAGTTGTTAACAGGAGCCATTTCAAAGTCAACATTCTTTAAAAAATTACATTAAAAGATTCTGAAGTTAATCGTATGTGGAAAAGAACTGATTTTCTTTCTACTAAAGATTATACAGTAACATCTGCGAGAACTGATATTGCTAAAGCTGCATTAGCATTTCCATTATAAAATGAAAGCATTTATAAACCTGCCTTTAAAAACTTGCTCTGGGCTGAAATGTGTCATCTCAGGTCCCAGAAGGAGACCATTTCTTTTAATTGGTTCAGCCATTTTAAAGTTAGCAAGTGAATTAAAGGCTGTATGGTGAGTTTGATTTCTTTTCACTACTGTAATGCAAATATTCATGATTATTTAAATTAAATTTTGCAGTCTGATAGTCTTGTAAAACTGGTAAATTTATACTGGTGTTACTCAAAGCAAGAGATGTTCTGAAAAGTAGTCACTAAAAATGAAGATTATTAGAACTCATTAAAAGCAGTAAAAAAGCAGAGATTCACAGCCTGCGACTTATACTACTGTGAACATAAATTTCTTTGTTGATGTCCAAAAGTACAGTTACAGGCAATGAATCTCACTCCATCTATATATCTATATCTATCTGAGTACTCACAGGTTCAAATGTTGTGAACAGCAGTTTTCCTACTTATTACATTTCAGCTTCATAATCTTAAACACACGTATTATAAATACTTCCTGTTTAGAATGCTTCCTAGAAGTATAAACATATACAGTACCAGAGGAGTTCAGATTTTAAGTGACTCAAACTGTGCGCTGACCTTCTGCAGTAGGAGGGCAAGACTGAACACAGAATTTGCACTTTGGGGTGGGGGAGAGCAGAAGAACTGGGCCTGCCCAGCAGCACTGCACCACACTGCAGTGTTTTTGGGAATACGGAATAGCCAATGTTGGACCTGTTTTCTAGAACCTTGTGGGTGAAGCTGCAGAACATGGGGTTCCTGCAATCCTACAAATAACACTGAAGGATACAGGGAACTGTAATGTCACTTTAAATGAGAGGTGACATATGTGGTACAAAAGCCTGAATTGGAGATACATGAAAGTCAGAATCTTTGCTGCTCAAGATATAGGTAGCAGCACAGCCATAAACCTTCACGTCATTTGCTCTCACTGATAAAACAAGTTCATCTTCAACTTCATGGCTTTTAAGCTGCCTAAGTTCCCCTATGCCTTTGCAGGCCATCAAGACTGATGGACAAGAGTGACTATTGAAATAACTTATTTGGATGTCCTACCTTTAAAAATAAGCAAAACTAAGCACAAGCTTATAAAACTAATTAGAAAATTCTGCACTTTAATCCTGTAACTTCTTCTGTAGCACAGGAACAAAGTGAGACTGGAATGTGGTCATGGATGGCTATG